GGACAATTAATCTGTATTGACCTGAAAACTTCCATTCTGTGAGTAATAAGGTCCACAGATCAGGCCCACCCTGGGACAAATGGATCAACCAAAGTAGAAACTGACATACAAAGATTCAGGTTTGTCTCATAGAGGGAATTCTCCATGCTCTGCAATAAGATAAATTGTTGTGCTTTTTCCTGAAGGTATGTTTAACACAGTCTGTAGTTCAAGACAGTAGAATTGAATTCTCCTGGCTTTGGAAGCTCTCTCAACTGGAGGGAATGTCAGAGGGCAGGGCATTCCCCTGCTGCCAGTGACTGACAGGTCTGGTTCTGCTCTAGGCTGCATGCAGGTTGAAGTACCTATTGTAACAGATCTGCAGACTTCATTACTTGAATAAAAGAAATTTTCAGGTGAGCACAACCTAGTGTTCTTCTCAGTCATAATGGAATATCTTCTTCAGTGTCCATCGTAAACACTGATCAGAACCGCTCCTAGGAGCAGGTAGGCCCAATGGTCTGAATAAAGGCCTTAGATCCAAATGACTCCTTGGTTCTTTGGTAATTCTGGCTGAACCATTGACGCAGTGTGTGACCTTGATAATCCAGTTGATCTTGTGCCTTTTTTAACCCAGCCGGAAAATTTGGTGAAGGAACCTCCCTAATCAAGCAGTAGTTGCTTTTGAACTGATTGTTTCCCAGGGAAAGAAATCGCATGGTACAATAACTTTTATTTTGGACGGCATCAGTGGATGATCTCCACACCCTTGGCAGAGTTGAGTAGCAGAGAGAGATGAAGAGATCTGGGCCAGGGAGAAAAAGAGATGATGGTTTTTATTGTATTCCTTAGATTTGTTTAAAGCACCTCTGGAAACGTCTAGATATTTGCATATTTGTATAAAAATAGTTTGAATGGTACTGTTCTCAATGGTAGCAGATGACAGAACGAGGAGTAATGGTCTCAAGTTGCAGTGGGGGAGGTTTAGATTGGATATTAGGAAAAACTTTTTCACTAAGAGGGTGGTGAAACACTGGAATGCGTTACCTAGGGAGGTGGTAGAATCTCCTTCCTTAGAGGTTTTTAAGGTCAGGCTTGACAAAGCCCTGGCTGGGATGATTTAACTGGGAATTGGTCCTGCTTCGAGCAGGGGGTTGGACTAGATGACCTTCAGGGGTCCCTTCCAACCCTGATATTCTATGATTCTATGAACTTTTAAGGAATTGGACAGTTGATGAGGCAGAGCATTCCAGGCACTCAGAGCTGCAGTGGGAAAGGCTCTTGTCTGATTAGAGGTATATCATGTGATGGGGCAGAGATGAGGGTGGTGATAGATGAATGGGGAGAGGAGAAAAAAGAATCAGGCAAGATGCAGGATTAGCTGGGGGAAGACCAGTGAGGCCTTGAAAACCAGCAGAATTCTATTCTGTTTAGGGGCTTTATACGGCCCCGGACACCCTAGTGTCTGAGCGCCTCAAATCATTAATGGATTTTATCTTCACAGCCCCTCTGGGAGGTCAGGGACAGTTATCCCTGTTTTGAAGACAGGAACCTGAGGCACAGGGTGGTGTAAGTGACTTGCTTAATGTCACCCAGGAAGTCTGTGGCTGAACTGGGAATTGAACCCAGGTCTCCTATGTCCCATTCCAGCGCCCGGATCTAAATCTTTTTTGCTTTGCCTGTTAAATGAGATCTAAGACTGGTGGCATTGTTTTGAGCATGAGGGTCTGGAATCCCATTTCTGTGTGTATCAGGAGGGTGAGCAGCAGCATCCTGCGAGATATGAAGGGCTGGAGCTCGGGGAGGCCAAAGGCAGAGAAGAGGAAGGCAGAGCTGGGGACTTCTTTCCAAATCCTAATTTGTATGACTCTTGAAGAATAACGTCAAACAAGGGCCATGAAACCCTCCTGTGCATTGCTACCTCTAGCAGAGGGCACACCTACCCATGGACTCCTGGGGAACGGATTGTGGGCAGGGTAGCTAGACCCAAGAAGAACCTTATCTGAACCCTTTGATACACATTGTTATTGGTTTCTCTTGGTCCTAATCTAAGGATAGCATCTCCTGCTGGTTGTGGGGGGAGAAGCAGCCTGCACAGACGTAGACTTCCTCTTGGGCACTGACCAGTTGAACCAGTTCTCTCACACTCCCTAGGAACTAGAGGTGTTTCCAAACTAAGCAGTGCAAAGGAATTCCATCTGGAGTCTGTCATGCTTTAGTTTGCTGAGGCAGCTCTCAAAGTGGAGGGGCTCTGATAAGGTGAGAGGATTACCTGCTTCACAGTCCTTGACCAAGGCTCATTTCCATGCCACCCACAGTGGATTCTGTCACATGAGCAAAAGCGGATGTATTCATAATGCGGAGCAGTTAGTGAGAGATCTCAGAGCCCTCTCAGTTAATCTGGCTTTCGCTTAACTGTGACCAGAGCCCTGTAATCTCATTGGGTTTGTTTTACCACTTTACCTGAGGATTTAGAATGATAGACATTAAGAGATGGGAAAAGATTTTGGATCATCTAGTCCTTCCCGCAGGGACCAGTGCAGGACTCTTCCTTACTCTGATGACATCTAGTGTTTTGTCAAGGCTAGTGTTAAATGCTTCCAAAGGTGAACTGCAGAGCAACAGACATGCCGATTTCCTTACCTCTGGTGTGTGTGTGTGGGGGGCTGGAACCTAATCAGTTAAGTAAGTCTAATTTGGACTCTTTGATGACACTAAGAAAAGGAGTACTTGTGGCACCTTAGAGACTAACCAATTTATTTGAGCATAAGCTTTCGTGAGCTACAGCTCACTTCATCGGATGCATACATCCGATGAAGTGAGCTGTAGCTCACGAAAGCTTATGCACAAATAAATTGGTTAGTCTCTAAGGTGCCACAAGTACTCCTTTTCTTTTTGCGAATACAGACTAACACGGCTGTTACTCTGAAACCTTTGATGACACTGTGTATTTTCCTCTTTTGCCCACTCTGGGTCTGAGATTGTTGGTAATTCAGTCTCCTTGGGAAACAGCTCTTGTCTTTAACTGTTGGTTTTACCTTCCTCTGCCCATTACTGACCTTTACTTTTAAAACCTGACCTCACCATATCTCCACCCCACTCAGTCTGGTGATTAAGGCACAGTCTATCTTAAAACCATGTCAGGGGTCTACTTACAACATGGCTATCCCCTGACTCAGCTAAAAATGGTCACAAACTGTACTGTAGATTGGAGCTTAACGTGTCCCTGTAACGGATTAAAGCCTTGGGCAGTCCAGCATCTCAACTCAAGTACAGGGACACAGCTAAGGTCCGGCCGTACTGTAGCTTTAACCATTTACTATCCGCTCCTGTGACTCAGTTATTAGTTGTAGCACAGATTGTGTATCGCGGTGCTACAACATTCCTTGCTAGACAAAAGAGGCAGCAGCCAGGGTCACAGCAGTAGAGGGTCTAGCGCTATCTGGGAGGTCTTGTGCAAAGAAAAGCTGCCGTGTCCCTAACACCCCAGTGATGAGCGAGACAAAGGAGAGGACGGGTGATATGTTTTATTGGACCAACCGACCAACTTCGCTTGGTGAGAGAGAGAGCCTCACCCATTGTCTCTGGGACCAGCACAACCACAGCACCCCTGTATTACTCCAGTGGTTGACACATTAGCTCTCCAACTACTGGTCCTATAAAAGGATGTAGAACAAGGCTTATGGAAATACTCCCATATCTGACTGCCCTGGATCTTCTGCACAGTGATGTGGCTTGTGAGTCTGCGGGTCCCAGCATACAAAGCTTCACCTTAAATCACCCTTCACTTGAGAAGAATCAGATACACTCTACAGCCCATTTTAAAATCCAGCCACAGTACCTGGATCTAAGTGACTGTGGCAGTGAATTCCACAGGTTAACATCACACTGCATAGGGCAGAGTTCCATTCTTAATGTTGATGATCTTGCCAGATCGTATTGCTATTTACTTTTAAGCATTTTTCTATTTTTATCCATTTAAATTTTCACTGTTGCACAAAATTATGGGTTTTAAGCGATTTGTGGGAAGTTTATGGAGAGGTCAGACCATAATTATTTCATGACAGCAGAGATTGAGATTCAAAAAGTTAAAGCTTTATAACTGTTAAAACTCAAATTGTCCAACATCACATGTCAAAATATACAAATTAAATTGCCTTAAACCAAACCCTAGCAAGTTCTCAAGCAGCATTTTCCTTACTTTGCCTCTCTGTAAATTCCAGTGATTATCGCTGGAAATATTTATTGACAGCTTGTGTGTGTTCAGTGAAATCAACATTTACCAGTAAAAATCTAAGCCTTCCCATTTCCTGTCGTTCCTTTTGTTTCATTTTCAGCGTCCTGTCCTTTTAATATTAAGGTGTCTCTGTGTTCTCTTACTAGTAGACGGTGGTGAGAAGGAAGAGGGACTGGCCAATTTGATGATGTCCTTGCAAAAGCTGATTACCTCAATCAAGCCCCCATCTTTCCCTTCTTCTTTCTAACCCAAGTAACACTCCTCTTTGCATTCTCTCATTACATTTAACCCCCCCCCCCGTGACCCCTAATCACCTTCGATTTCTTTCTCTGCAGCTCTTCAGTCTCCACTCTCTCTCTCTCTTGAGGTCAGGCCATCAAAACTCAATTCTCTTTCAGTCCAGCGCACCTACTGGTATGCAGGGGACCACCCGGTCTGTTAGGGGTGAGTTCTGTTTCTGGGTTCCCCTGAAGCAGACATAAGAGCTGTGTGTGCAGTGCAAGGCATGTTTCCGTTACAAGGGGAAGTACTTGCCCCTGTGCTCTTCAGGACTGTGGGGGGGGATTTTCAAAGGCACATGGCAGCTAGGCACGTAACTCCCACTGAAAGTCAAAGAGAGTTAGGCACCTGACTATCATTTGTGCCTCTGAAAATATTTGGCTGTCTCCTCTCTCTGCCTTGATTACACCTACCAGAAATCCCTCTGGATCCCCCTGCCCCAGTGACCCTTGTAGCTGCAGGTGAGTGTGTGGAGACCCCTGACTAAAAGCTCTTTTTTTTACAGTTCGCCAGTTCCTTCAGCGTGGCATCAGCCCCAGTTTGTACAATGAAGATGGCCTCACTGCATTGCACCAGGTAAGCAGCCTTCCGAGGTCCCCACTGGCAAGAGCCCTTTTCAGCTACCGAGCCTTCCCCACAATCTGTGCTTCTGCCGCAGTTCACTTTTCAGTGTCCAGTCCCTGCACGTCTCCTGTTCAGTACTTGTCTTGCATCCCCCAGTCTCAGGGCTTCTAACTTACCTTTACTTCCTCCAGCCACATTGGCTTGGGAGGCTGTGACAACCATGTAGCCTCTCCCCCCTCCCTGAAGGCAGTGCCTAGCCAGTCCTATGCTAGTAACTGAGGCAGAAATCTGTCCTGACTCCCCTTCTTTCTCTGTCTCCACCTTCTAGCTAAATGCGTCCCTTTGCCAGCTCACTCTTCTCACCTGAGTCCAGGACACTGCTCCCCAATCCCTTACTGTGTGGAGTAGCTGCACCAACCATCAGACACCAGCTTTGCAGGAGGGAAGGGCCGAGAAGCAGGGTCAGTATTTTTCTTAGTCACGACGACTTTAAACTGAGTTGAAGCTGCAGGTTCTAGACGTGACTCTGGAGGCACCACCTGGTGGTTCCAGTGGGATCATTCCTATTTTCTTATCCCCCAATACCCCAACCCCTTCGATTCTTGAAATATGAGATGCGGGTACCACAGGCGACATAATCTCTCACTGTAGCTAATAACTGCTTCCGATGGCCTAGATCTGGGCTCTCGATACTTTGAAGAAAAGGCAGACCTTGGACCAGAGTTTTCTCGCGACTTGGGCTGGGAACACTGGCGAGGGAGGGGCCAAGTGTCAACTGGAAGCTACAAGGTGGTGCTTTTAGCAATCACAGACATGAGTGCAGCTTGAAAATAAGGTAGATTTTTCTCCCCCAGTGAACATATAGAAATTAGTGCCTGAATTTATCACTCACAATGGTTCTTGCACTTCAGAGTATTGACAGTCTCTCAGTGATGATAATAAAATGTCTTGCTCTTCTCCAGCACCTTCCAGTGCTTCTCAAAGTGATCTCTCTCTCTCTCTCTCATCTTCATGACCCCCCTGTGATCCAGGGAAGTTCTAGTGTTCGGAGTGTGAGTTCTCTGAGCCAGGAACAGTCTGTATTTCATTTCCTTTATAGCCCCAAGCACACGACTGGTGCTTTTATCTGTATCTGTCTGCCAAAATAAATGCATTTTACAACTTTGGCACTGGGGTGAAGTGACTTTATTCACTGCATATTAGTTATAGAGTTAGGAATAGAACCCAGGAGTCCTGACTCTTAGTTCTGTGCTTTAGCCACAAGCTGGTCCTTCCCCAGCAAACTTTGTTCGAAAGGTTACAGATGATCTGGTGAATAGCTGTTTTGGACCCATTACAAACTAACATGGAATGAACCACAGCTGCTAAAACTCATAATTGCTAACCATCCGTATGGCATAACGACCACAAATCATAATCATTGATCCCTCCGACAGCCACCAAAAATCTTCACGATTCCAGTCCAGTCGCTGATGGCTCACCTAGCAGCCTTGAATCATCCCCCATATTATGATGTCGGTAACTACAGAGCTAAGTAAATAATCAAGCAGTAAAATGCAACGGGGCATTCCCACCTCGAGTGAGCTAATTGAACAATAACTGTTACAGCAGCCGGCAGGTCCTAGAGGCTGGTGACTGACTCAGAGCAGTTAATGGCCTGAGACACAGCGGAGTCTCCTTACTTCTCTTATGGGAATTCTCTCCATTACTTCTCTATTCAGATGTCTGCTCCGAGGAAGCAGACTCTGGCCCCCTCTCATCATCTGTCTTCTCTCTCCTTTCACCGTCCTTGCCCGTTGCTGTCTTGTGCACTTTTTCATTAAGCTCAGGTTTAGTGAAACTTTCACAGACTCGCCTAGTCGAGGCTTACCCGGAGACGAGTGGCAGCATTTCAGTGAGCCGGAGCTAGCTGCAGCCACCCTCACTTTTAATAAGTAGAAGGGGCTGGTGGAGGCTCTGCTTTGAAATGCTCCATCTTGAGCTGAGGAAAAGACCCAGACATCACTGTGGAGGGTACAATAAAAACCTTTCCTCAGTGTGCAACAGCAGTCAAAAAAACAAACAAGACATTAGGATGTGTAAGGAAAGGGGTGGCGAGTAATGCTGAGAATATGCTGATGCTGTTCTATAAATCACTGGTAGGACACACTCACCGGCCCTCACTATGTTCAGTGGAGGTCTCTATCCCAAGAAGGACATAGCAGAAATAGAGAGGAGGTTCAGATACAGATGATAAAAATAAAGACCTGGAAAGAGTTCTGTATGAAGAGAGACTGAAAAGACAGGAAAGGGGTGAATAAGAGAAGGTAAAACAGAGGTATACAAAATACCACATGCTGTAGAGTAAGACAGTAGGACAAACAGAAGTGCTTCCTCTCATTACAAGAACAAGGGGACAGTTAATCAAAATGTAAAGTGACAAATTTAAAACTGGTGCTCTTTTTACTCAGTATGTACTACCACTGGTCAGCATTGAGGCAAAGGGTTTGCATTAGGGTCGGACAGTTAAATCGGCAGTGAGAACATCTATAATTAGATTAGGATGAAAAAAATTACAGGGCTATAAACTCCCCTTCCTCAGGGCATGAGCCAAACACTAGCTGAAGGGGGGTAAGGAAGAAACTTCCCTGATGGGCAATTGTCCATTGTGTAATTGTCCACTGCAAATTTCCACTGCAAATTTTCATCCCTTCCTCTGCAGCAGCCGGTGTTGGCCACTGTCACAGACAGGGTGCTGGACTCAGTGAATCACTTGTCTCATTTGACATGGCAGTTCCTAGGTGTGGATAGTCTGATGTGTGTGGTGTGGCATGAGTGTGTTTGCTTTGATTGGCTGCTAAAAGGAACATGGATAAATCCTTAAAAAGAAAAGGAGGACTTGTGGCTCCTTAGAGACTAACAAATTTATTTGAGCATAAGCTTTCATGACCTACAGCTCACTTCATCGGATGCATTCAGTGGAAAATACAGTGGGGGAGATAAATCCTTGTGAAAGCTGCATGATGCTCCTCTGCAGCAGAGAGAGGCTGAGTGACCAGTATTTACAAACACTGAGCCAGCAATGTCTATGCTGAGACAAGCATGTGTATTGACATACCCAAATGAAAACAGCAGACACTTGGATTAAGGAAAGCACACGCCCCGAAGGAATTAGAGGATTGTAAATGGCCCAGCAATCTAGTAGCAATGTAATTAAATACCCCCAGGCCCCAGCAACCATCTCTTGGCAGGGTTACCACTTCTTAACATTTGTTTAGACAGACTTGTGTATCCTGATGTTCTGACACCCTCCAGCCAGTGTTGTTGCATCATGACTCTTGATAGACTGACATCAGGACCTGTTAATGGCTCTGCAAGCAAGATACAAGATCATCCAATCCACCTTGCTGACTCTAGGCTAGAGGCAACCCGATGAGGGCAGAGTGAAGCAGTGCTCTTTCCAGTCCCAGCCATGAAGGGCTGGAGGGGGTTCAGAGAAGAGCCATGTAAATGATTCAAGGATTAGAAAAACCTGCCTTATGGCGATGGAAAGAAAGAGCTCAGTCTATTTATCTTAACAGAGAGAAGGTGAAGGGGTGACTTGATCGCAGTCTATAAGTACCTACATGGGGAACAGGTATTTTATAATGAGCTCTTCGGTCTAGCAGAGGAAGGTCTAACACGATCCAGTGGCTGGAAGTTGAAGCTAGACACAATCAGATGGGAAATAAGGTGTCAATTTTTAATAACGAGAGTAATTCACTATTGGAAGAGGCTACCAAGGGTTGTGTTGGATTCTCCATCACTGACCGTTTTAAAATCCAGATTGGCGGTTTTCCTGAGAGATCTGCTCTAGGAGTGACTTGGGGGCAGGTCTTCAGCCTGTGTTACACAAGGGGTCAGACTAGATGATCACAGTGGTCCCTTCTGGCCTTGGACTCTCAGAATGAATGTCGTAGAGTCGAACACCCACATTACACTGCTGTATACACCAGCTAGTTAGTTGCTAATCTCCATGAAATGTCTGCTGCCTCAGGTGTGAAAGCGATAACAGCAAACGAGTTTATTTCACACTAGCTGTTTCTCCCACAGGCTTTTCCTTTGCTTTTTGCCGTCTCCCCATCCTTGTAGGATACAAGGTGACAGGGGCTTTGCAGTGTAAACACATGGTGAGTAATAGCCAGTCGCAGTGGTTGTCTACACTATCACTTATGTCTCTCCACGGTGTGAAAAAACACCCTCCTGAGCGATGTAAGTTACAGTGGAGTCACATCTTACATGGGGGTTAGGTTCTAAAGTCAGCGTGTAAGGCAAAAATTGTGTATAGTCAAAATTACCCTTGAAAATCCCTTAAATCGTCCATAAAGTACAGTATACTGTACATGGTTTTGTGTATACAGCCCTGTACAGTAATATGTATAACTGTATAATGTATACAGTAATGTACAGTATATAATAAAGAGAACATATGCAAAATATAATTTTACAGCATTGTATCTTTCATTACAGGGGGGTAATTACAGGGGGTCGTCAGGGCTTGATGTCGATCCAGGAGACGGCGGAGAGCTTGGGTGACGGAGAGAGAGTCGGAGATGAAGTGGTTGGCTCTGATTCAGCTCAAGAAGTTGATTGCATAGGCTCGTCTGCTGCTGGTTGTTTTTCCTTGAAAACCATGGTGATCGGCAACTGTCGCTGTTGTCTCTTGAGCGGCTCAAAGGTTTCTTGGTGCGGTCTCAAATCATCCGTAATACTCCATGTGATTTTGCGGCTTCGTTCCATAGAGGGATCGTATTCAGAAATTAAATCATTCAAGTGTTTCGCTGCTTGGAACACTTCAGCAAATTTATGAAGATTCCATCTTGCTGGCTCTTCTTGGTCGTCGTCGTCATCTTCGTCTTCTATAGGCGATTTTATCAGTTCCTCTGACTCTTCGTTAGTCAATGTTTCTCTATGGCTCTTGATTAATTCTTCAATTTCTTCCTCAAGGATGTTGATGAAACCACCACCACCCACTTGCCTGGCCACCTGAACAATGCGTTTCACTTTTTTGTCAATGGTCGGGAAACCCTTAAAATCATTCACACATTCTTTCCATAGGTTTCGCTAACATGCATTGACTGTTTCAGCCTTGATTGCATCCATTGCCTGTTTAATATAAGTGATGCAATCGGCAATGTTGAAGGACTTCCAACACTCCATCACATTGAGATTGGGATCAGCATCCATAGCGCTACGTATCCATGAGAACGTAAGCCTCGTGTACAGGGCCTTGAAACAGCGAATCAGGCCTTGGTTGAGAGGTTGGAGGATGGAGGTGGTATTGGGGGGGGGGGAGAAAGACAACTTCCACATTGTTATGCACAAACCTGAGTGCCGCAGGGTGGCCAGGAGCATTGTCTACGATCAGCAGCACTTTAAAGTCAAGTCCTTTTCCCTTCGAGGTACCGTTTGACCTCCGGAATGAAACACTTGTGGAACCAATCCAGAAATAATGCTGCCCTCACCCAAGCCTTTTTATTTGATTGCCAGAACACAGGCAGGAGATTTTTGTTCTTGCCTTTTAGGGCACGGGGATTTCCAGCCCTGTAGAGCAAGCCCAGCTTTATTAAATGCCCAGCCGCATTGCCACAAAACAACACAGTCACATGGTCTTTAGCTGCTTTGAAGCCAGGGGCTTGTCTTTCCAATTTCAAAATGTAAGTGCAGTTCGGCATTTTTTTTCCAAAAGAGCCCAGTCTCGTCAGCATTAAAAACTTGTTCGGGAAGATAGCCCTTTTTTTCTGTGATTTTCCTTAATTGTTCGGGGTAGGCTTTTGCTGCCTCTTCATTGGCAGATGCAGCTTCAACAGTAGTCTGCACGTTTTTGAGGTTGAAGTGGTTCCTAAAACTGTTAAGCCAACCTTGGCGGGCTTTGAATTCCTTCTCCTCAGAAGGCTGTCCCTCTTCGGCGGGAGGTTTGAACAGCGCATAGAGGCTAAGAGCCTTTTCTCGCAATGTGTTGCCATCGATAGGCACACGTTTACGGTTCATGCCTTCCAGCCATAAGTTTAAAGCCTTTTCAATCTTCACTAAAGTTTTATCACGCACCTGGCTCGTCACCTTAGCAGTTATTGGAGCACTTGATGCCGTGGCTTGACAAATTTCTCTCTCTCAAATCTTGATGGCATGGATGCTAGATTCGTTGTGGCCATATTTACGCGCCATGTTGCAGACCGACATACCATCTCTCAATAAGTCCAACACAGCCAGTTTTTCCTCCAGCGTTGGAACAGATCGCTGTTCCTTTGGCTGAGCACTAGATGAAGTAGTTGGCTTGAGTTTAGGGGCCATGTTGTATGAAAAATACGAATCTTTAGACACGAGAATCACACTCACCGCGGCGAGATGCTCACGCTATGAGAGGCACGCAGGAACTGAGACCGACTGAGGGAACAGCAGATTCACGTCTCCCATCTCACGCTCACTCCAGGGCATACGCTCATTGAGTGGAATGGTGGGCGGAATCGTGTACAGGTATCTTGTTGTTTTTCTTTTTTTTGCCAAGCGCGTGTAGTTGAATTCGTGTACGTTAAATGTACGTATGATGCGACTCACCTGCTCACCGAGAGACGCGCCGGTGTGGACCGTGCTGTCAGCGGGAGAGCTTCTCCCCGTCGTAGCTACAGCCGCATGTGGAGGTGGTCTTACTGTGCCGACGGGAGAGCTCTCTTCCATCGCAGAGAGCGGCTACATGAGCACTCGTACTGCTGTGCCGCTCTAAGCTCGCTAGTGTAGATATGGCCTTCAGTCTGGCTGAGGTCTCATTTCTTTCTGTCTCAAACTTTGGTGTCTGACCGGGGCTTTAATATTTTAGCCGATGTGACGAGTTCAGCAGTGGAGCCTGCCCGTTCCGTGTGGTGAGTCACGTTGTGCCGGCCGGTGCCTGGGCGCCTCGCCTGGTGTGGAGCACTGCGCTGTGTGCAGAGACCGCAGTTAACGCCACAAGTACACAGCAACGGAGCTCCACCGCCTTTATCTGGACGGTGGGTTTGGGCTCCTGCTAATTCCAGTCGAGATTCTGTGGTGGCTGGTGCTATGGTTTTCAGATCACTCCCTGCTCATCTGCTTGATGGTCTTCAGTACCCCCGGTTCTTAAGCCCTTTGAATTTGGCCTCCTAGGGTTCAAAAAGACCAAACTTCCCATTTCAAGTGGCTCCAACCCCCTGACTTGGCGTAAAGGAGCTTTTGCCACTGACTTCAGTGGGAAGAGGATCAAGCCCACAGTGATCCTAGCTCTTCCAGGTTCCCTCCAGGGCCCTCTTTTCCGCTGTGCTCCCTGTCCCCTGCCTCTTTCCTTTCTCTTGACACCTCACTCTCTGTGATCTGGAGAATGTCCTGATGCCAAGCCACTGATGTGTTTCTCTTCATCAATCCCCAGCATGCACTGAACTCTTGGGAGAACGTAATGCCTTCTCCCTCTCTCCACCCTCCTGCAGGCCAGGACTTCCTGTCTGCCGATGCTAGGAGCTCCAAGCGGTGACAAGGCGGGAGCTCTTCACATGGGCTGCAGATGGTACTGAAGAGGGGTTAGGTGCATTATTGGCCTCCGCTCCCTTAGGAGCCTGTCAGTCCATCATCAGGCAGGAATTTGCAGTATGAATCCACCGATCAGTTCTAAGAACCTCTCAAAGCAATGTCCCCTTCACACCCATCTAACAGGTCTGGCTTGCTTCCACCTCCTTTCCCAAGAGCCCTTCTGGTGGGTATTTGCAGTGACCAGGATCCCCCCAGCAGCTAAGCGGTCAGTGGGGACAGAGAGCTGGTGGGTAGAAGTTCCCTGCCCCTGCTCTGGACCAATGTCTGGGACCAACACAGCTACAACACTGTGTACTGACCCTTCCTGTCATGCAGGTTCCTTTCCCTTAGTAACAGGCGGGCCGGCATCCTCTCCTGCTGTTGCCATGTCTTGGTTTGCTGGGAGTAAGCAAGTCCCATCCTGGTCAGACAGGGTCAGCATCTTAAAGAGCTGCTTATAAATCTGAACCAAGACCCCTTCAAAAGGAAACTGCATTCTCCAGGTTGCTGGTTCATGAACGTCAGAGACAGAGACCTATTGGGCCCCCGCGTCCACCAGGCTTAGGAACAAACACAGATGGTTCCCAGCGGAGGGTTAAAAAATCAGTACTTGGCTAGTGCCCCAGAGTCATTTCTACCTGTCTGCTCTCTAGTGCTCTGCAGGAAATGCTGTGGCCTTCGCTCCAGAGATCTCAAAGCCGTTTACAGACATCCATGAATTTATCCTCACAAGTTCTTTGTGAGTCTGGTCAGTAGAGTTTGCCCATCGCACACAGGAGGAAGGGACTTGGCCGTAGTTACCCAGCAAGTCCGTAGCCGAGCTGAGCCTAAAGCCAGGAGTCCTGGCTGCCTGTCCTGTGCTCTAACCAAGAGAGTTGGGCTTTCAGTCCTGGTCCTAGTGGCTGAGATCCACCTCACAAAAGCCATTCCCATGAAGTATCCAAGGACTAGCTGAGCCATGGAGCCCCAAGTCTCACCCCCTCCAGAGGGGCTCCCTCCGGGGCAGGTTTAAGGGTAATTGGTGGAGGCCTGCAGTGAGGGGGCAGCAGCTTGCTCTGTCTTGGCTGAACCTTTCATGCAAAAACAGGGCCTGTTCATCTAGGCCTGTCAGTCCCCAGCTGCAGTAACCGCCGTGTTCTGCTCCCTCTCGTGTTACAGTGCTGCATCGACGACTTCGGGGACGTGGTCCTGCTGCTGCTGGAGGCCGGCGCTGATGTCAACGCCTGCGACAGTGAGCTCTGGACGCCGCTGCACGCCGCTGCGACCTGCGGACACCTGCACCTGGTGGAGCTGCTGATTAAACAGTACGCAGGTTCCTGTGCGTTCCACGCGGGGGGCCGGGGCGGGGGCGTGACGGCGGGTGAAGGGAATGAGCGGCCTTCTCTCCCCGTAGCGGAAAGGGGCCGCAAACAGACCAGCCTGAGGTGAGGAAGGAGCGGGAGAGTTAGGCCTCATGAAGAAACCTACAACAGAGCGATGTACTCCCAGAAGGAGACTGTTCTAGCTGCTGGTCTGGAGTTCAGAGGGTCCTGGGACTTGATTGGGGCAGTAACCCTGCAGCCTTGGGCAGGAAAGGTGCCTTGGAGTGAGGGCACCCAGAACGGCTTAGAATCCTCCTTGGCCCTGGGATTGCCACCCCCCGACCTAGCTTTGAGTCAAGGGAAGTGAACCTGGCACTGGGTAGTCTGACAGAATTAGCCCAGCCTGGGATGATTCCTGCACCCGGAGAGGCTGTGACTGTTTCTATCCCAGTCTCTACCCCTGTGACCTGAAGGAGAGCTCTGTGCAGCTTGAAAGCTTCTCTCTCCCCAGGAGAAGTTGGTCCAATCAAAGATATTACCTCCCGCACCTCGACCAACACGGCTACAACCCACAGCAGTTCCACTCACCCTCCACCCCCAGTCCTGACTCTGGAGCACCCCCTGCTGTCCAGTCCTCATACTTTCTTATGCAGTCGCTGAGCTCTGTCAGGGATGATTTGCTGAATGCCACCTAGAGGTCCTATACCTAGCCCAGGCATCTCTCTTTCCTGTGACCCAAGCCAGGTTTGAACGCCCAGGTTTTCAGAGGAGGCAGGCCGGAGTATTAACCCTCGGGGGCTCGCCTCCCCTGGAACAATTGCATCTTTTGCAGCTTGCTTATTTCCCCTCCCCTCAGATTGAAGTCACGTTGTCAGACTCCGTTGTAGTTGTTTGGAACCCTGCTTGTAGGGCTGTAAATGTTTAATGGGGGTGTATTGTTGACCAAGTAACCCAATCTGCCTCTGTCTGGGCTGCTGCAGGAATCTCCTGTTAGTGAGGCCTTGGCCTGGCTGCAGATGGACGAGACAGTTTGCGTCAGTAAATCCTCTGCTGCTGCTCTTGCTGTACAGCATGACCGAGTTATGAAAGGCCTTTCCCCATCACTCCCTGCCCAGGAGGGCTGGGGTTTGAATGCCAGCTGAGGACAAGCATGGACCTGCCTGCTGATCCCCCAGCCCCTCGAGGCTGCCTGAAGTCCTCATGGCACCCTGGTTGCTTGGCAGCACCTCAGCTGAGTCTGTGTTTTAAAGCTGGAAGTAGGGTTAGGAGGAGAACGGGGGGTGCATCAATCTGGGGCCGCCTGGGGAAGGCAAAGCGTAGCTAGGAGGAGTAAGCCTGGGTAGGAACAATGCGGGAGGCAAATGGGGACAGGCAGGCTCCTGAAAGAACAGGGGTAATATGGGCTTCTTCAGCATCTCATCAGACACCAGATCTGTAACTCCCACTGGCTGGATTTCTGTGCCCCCCCCCCCCCCCGCCTTTTTGAAAACATCCTGGAGAGAGGACTCTTTTCCTCTGCCACCTCCTCATCCTTCTGCCAGGGACATCAGTGTGGAAACAGGAGAACAGTGCTGCTCCTTCCCCAGTGGAGTCCAGCCATCCCTGCCGATGCCCATCACATGGGGTGGTGCCGGAGCGGAGTGCAGTGCCCCAGAGGGGGACTGCAGGGCTCTGCTGAAGAAGCAGCAGCCAGACCCTTGAGGAGCAAGGATCCTGTTTCATGCAGCCGTCCCTGGCTGATAGTGGAGGCGGGACAAGAAACCCAATCTACAAGACAGGCAGAATCATGCCCATGGAGAATGTTTTACAGAAGCCGTTGGTGGCTCGTTAATAAAAACGGCTCCTTGTATCTGTTACGCTAGCTGCCTAGCGGCACGCGGGTGCTGTGCATGGCATTACCATGGACACAGCAGAGAGGTAGCCACCTGCCTTGTTTCCTCACTGTTTATTTCTTCTTCTTCCCCTGCCCAGTGGTGCCAATCTCCTGGCCGTGAACACAGACGGGAACATGCCATACGACCTCTGCGAGGACGATGTGACGCTGGACTACATTGAAACGGCCATGGCAGATCAGGGTGAGTCTCCCCAATCCTGGGCTGGTGTCTCATTCCCTTTCCCTGTTGTCACATTGATGTTTCATGGTTATTCACACACTGCTGGGTGTGGTCGTCCCACCCCCCGGTCCGTCCCCCCCACCGGCTGTCCTATTCTGTTCGGGCATTGCAAGCCCCCTCCATGGTGCAGCAAGCCACTGTCAGGACTGGGCGGGTTGGCACCTTGGCAGCAGTGTCCAACCCAGAATGCCCCATTTACCTTCCAGTGAGATCTGTGTTGGGTTCTCTCCTTGCGCAGCTTCTGTTTCTAGTGCTCTCCTGACACAGAGAGACATCCTAGAATGAAGGAGCATCACTTCTTAAGATCCAGATTTTGACTCCTCCCCTGCTTGATGGCTCCAGGCTGGGCTGGGAAAGGGCTGTAGGGAACCCTCTTAGCAGTCTCCTTCCTCTTAACCACGGAGATTTCCTGGTGGGTGATGAGCCTCTTGCATAGAGACCACTGATTTCTTGCTCCTTTTGTTATTTATACAGTGCCATGGGTGTGCATGGCACTTGACGACAGACAGAAGTGATCTTCCCCATGAAGAGCCACCAGTCTACGTTCAATAAACCCCGCTTAGACACAGGGAGAATTGCTAGCTGGCAAGGGGAGTGGGAGTAATGGGAAGCTCGCATACTTTGAGGCGACGAGAGTTACCTGCACCAAACACATCCATTTGTTTATGTACAAAACCCATCAAGTTGATGCAGGAGTGCGGGGCAAGGGCGGAGCTGGTGGAAGAAATGGGTTCTGAGGAGGGGTTTGAAGGAGCAGCATTCGGGTTGTCTGGCATACAGGACCAGGAAGGACGTCCCACGGAGCGAGGGCGACATGGGCAATGGCTAAGGGTGAAAGAAAGTCAAACTAGGTAAGCAGGCTAGTGGAGGGAGACAAGGGAGCAGGGGAATGTGGGCCTGAGCCCTGAAGGGGAGGAGGGAGGAGCTGGCCCCTGATGTGGAAGGTAGATGTTGAAGGGCCTGGGGGAAAACTGGGAATGGGGGGAGATTGATGGTGGGGATCCAGTTGTTGGAGACACAGGTACAGATGGGAGACTAAGCAGAGGGGAGCGACCCAGGGGAAAGGGTGGATTTTGTAAGCAATGAGATGGAAGCAAAGCCATGGGAGTGGAGTAGGTCACTCAGGTACGGTGCAGAGTAGATGACCAAGGACAGATGGCTGCTTTTGGGCAAGGGATGTGTGCACGTCTTCCTGGGTAGACTAGTGCAGATTGTAAGAAACCAGCATTGTCTTTGGCCTGGAGTCCAATAAGCAAACACCTCCCAGCCTTGCTGCTGGGGTACAGGCCAGCTCCCAGTCCCATCTGCCATGGCTACCCTCCTGGCACTTACTCTCTGTGTAGGAATAACTCAGGAGGCGATTGAGGAGGCCCGAGCCGCCACGGAGCACAGCATGGTGGAAGATATCCGAAAGCTGCTTCAGGCAGGTGCCGATCTGAACACTCCACTTGACCACAGTGCCACTCTGGTAAGTTCCCCGGTCATAGTGCCGAGAGCTAGGGAGAGCTCTGCCCGAGAAGTGAGGCGCAGGAGACCATGGCTGCTGGGGAACACGGAGTGGGGGACTGGTCTTAGGGAGGCAGCATAAGCCCCACCTCTTGGGGGACAAAGCACTGGTGAACATACTCAATCCGGCCGTGGCTGGGGAGAAACTAGAACTGACCCATTGCTCTGGAGCTCCTCTGCATGCGGGACGCCTCGTAGGCCACCAGCAGCAGGGCCGGAACCACTAGCTTTTCCTTCCAAGGACTTTGCCTGTTCAGACCAATAGCCGTGGAAGCACTGCCAGCAGTCAGGGCCACCACCTGTGCCTCTAAGCAAGCCAAACTGAAAGCTAGCAAAACCCAGTCTCCACATCCCCCAGCAGCTGCTGCAGTCCTGGGGCCTAGGACAGCGCCTGTGGCTCTGGTGGAGAACCATCTCCTGTCTGCAGACAAGGCAAGTCCATCCTGCTACGTTTGCCATTGCTGAGCACTGGGTTCTCCCATCCCACCTAAAGGCTGTGCAGTGAATACAAATGCACTGAAACGGCTCAGTCCGAGCCCACAGAGAGCCATCTGGGGCCACTGTGTCTCCACCTGCAGAGTCCCAGTCCATGTGCTCATATATCGGAGTGCTCAGACGCAGTCCACGGTCTTGGGGTCCATTTGGATCCCTCAGAGCTGTTAGAAGTCAAGGTAGCCGTGGCAGCAAGAACCTCCCACTTCCACCTGGGTCTGGCCAGAACATCTGCCCTTCTCCCGTCAGGCTCTGGCCTGGTTACAATGATTCACATGTCTGCGACCACCCGGGTAGATCATTTCAACCCTGCATTGCCAGAAGCTGCATGCTCTGAGAAAGCACCAGCTAGTACAAAATGCAGCAGTCCATCTCCTCAGCCGCATGGGGTGCTGTGAAGACATTCCCCGATGCACCATGCTCTGCCCTGGCTACACATTGAGCACGCACTCCAGCTCTCTCTGCCCTGATACTCAAGGCCCTGCATGCGTCTGCCTCTGGAGGATCCAGTTCACAGTGGAACCCCCTCCTTGCACAGCATGTTGGCTCCTGCTGCAGAGCTGCTTGGGTGTGGCCTGGGAAGAATGGCCAGCTGGCTCGCTAGCTGTCCCCTCTGTGCCCATTCCTTGGCCTGTTGATCACAGCAGGGAAGGAGGTGACCCCATACCCTTCAGTCACTGGAGACTGCTGATCAAATGGGACAGGCCCAGATGGAACTGACTGGTCTCCATCTGAGCCCAAGTTCACACTAGAAACTTCATAAAATCATAGAAGATCAGGGTTGGAAGGGACCTCAGGAGGTCATCTAGTACAACCCCCTGCTCAAAGCAGGACAGGTCCCCAACTAAATCATCCCAGCCAGGGCTTTGTCAAGCCTGACCTTAAAAACCTCTAAGGAAGGAGATTCCACCACCTCCCTAGGGAACCCATTCCAGTGTTTCACCACCCTCCTAGTGAAAAAGTTTTTCCTAATATCCAACCTAAACCTCTCCCACTGCAACTTGAGACCATTACTACTCGTTCTGTCATCTGCTACCACTGAGAACAGTCTCGATCCATCCTCTTTGGAACCCCCTTTCAGGGAGTTGAAAGCAGCTATCAAATCCCCCCTCATTCTTCTCTTCTGCAGACTAAACAATCCCAGTTCCCTCAGCCTCTCCTCATAAGTCATGTGTTCCAGTCCCCTAATCATTTTTGTTGCCCTCCACTGGACGTTTTCCAATTTTTCCACATCCTTCTTGTAGTGTGGGGCCCAAAACTGGACACAGTACTCCAGATGAGGCCTCACCAATGTGGAATAGAGGGGAACGATCACGTCCCTCGATCTGCTGCCAATGCCCCTACTTATACATCCCCAAATGCCATTGGCCTTCTTGGCAACAAGGGCACACTGTTGACTTACATCCAGCTTCTCGTCCACTGTACCCCCTAGGTCCTTTTCTGCAGAACTGCTGCCTAGCCATTTGGTCCCGAGTCTGTAGTGGTGCATGGGATTCTTCCGTCCTAAGTGCAGGACTCTGCACTTATCCTTGTTGAACCTCATCAGATTTCTTTTGGCCCAATCCTCCAATTTGTCTAGGGCCCTCTGTATCCTATCCCTCCCCTCCAGCATATCTACCTCTCCTCCCAGTTTAGTGTCATCAACTTCGACGGTAGAGTAACACCAGTGTGGGGAGCGGGGGGAGTTATTTTACTTTCTGTAACGCTTCTCTACTGGCATAAACCCTAGTGTCAATGCAGCGATACTGGGCAAGGCACTTGGATGCTGCTATCGTTTATTTCACTCGGGATTGGTATAAGCTGTCCCAGCAAACCGCCTCTTTGCAGGTGTCAGCAGCAACTGCCCTGAGCAGGTTTGCTGGTTTAGCCATCCCAGCCAAGCTTTGCCGGAGAGAGCAGCCCTGGCGTTAGGGCCTGGCCCGGGATTCTAGCGCTGGTAACTTCTGCTTTGCAGCTGCACATTGCCTCGGCAAATGGCTACCTGGAAGCTGCCGAGCTGCTGCTGGAACACAAGGCCAGCATGAGCGCGAAGGACAATGATGGGTGGGAGCCCCTCCATGCTGCCGCCTGCTGGGGGCAGGTGAGTACTTGTAGGCAGGTGAGAATGCACATCTAGCCCACTGGCTGAGGGGTGGGCAGCTGGTAACTCGGAGTGTTCCTATTGGGAATTTCCGACCCTAGAACGTCCTCCCAGTGGTGGAGTACAGCGCCTCCTAGCGGCACAGCCACCTCAGCACTGGACATGGACTGCATTCCCTTGCTGTCGGGCCTGCCAGCGTGCTTTCCGTAGGATTGTGCGGGGGCCAGGCATATGGAAGCGATGGCTACTGAGAGTGGGGTGCTGGGCACAGGGCCACCCCAACTCCTCCCGAAGGGCCCTGGGGTGTCAATGGACAGGAGGGAGCTCAGGTGAACGCCTGCTGTAAAGGATGGGTGGCCGCCTCCAGTTGCAGCTCAGCAGTCAGAAATCGGAACGTGCTGTGGATGGGGGAGGGGGTGGGCAGGGGGTGCTAGAAATCTCCCTCCTGCCGGGCACAGGGCATGCGGGTCCCACTTGTGAACTCCCCCCTCACCCCCCCAGGTCATTATGGCAGTGGGAGCCGACAGGCCCAGGACACAGGAGGGTGCTGATCTGCAGAGGTTGCAGCGTCTCCGCTTCTGGCATACGCGGTTCCCAGCTGGGTGGTGATGGGGGCAGAGGGGCGTTTTCCTCTCAGCTCGGGGGCGGAGCAGGTTTGTGTGTTGGATTCTTCCTGCTTCGCTAAAGGCAACTTCCCTTGGTGCCTTCAGATCCATCTGGTGGAGCTGCTGGTGGCCCATGGAGCTGATCTCAATGGGAAGTCTGTGCTGGACGAGACGCCCTTGGGTGAGTCAAGCCGTTAGGAGAGTAGGGAGTGGAGGAGGCTGGAAGGGTGCAAGGGAAGGGGAGAGACCGAGGGAGGCAGAGGCTGGTGGAGATGGATGGGGAGGGGAGTGGAGCGGGGAGGTGATGGGGGCAGTACAGACTTTCTGACTCTGCAAATCCTCCGAGGTGCCTTGTCGTGTTTCGTGTGGTAGGCTCCTCCCCAACCCAGCAGTGCATTCCGAGGACCCTGCAGCCACTCCTGCTGCCAATCCCACCTCGTCCTGAACCCCCTGAAAGGCCTTAGACCCCTTTCTGTCCTCACCTCAAAGCCACGCTTTCCATTCGGGGATCAGCAGGGGTCCTTCCCAGCCCCACCTCTTTTTTCCGCCTCCACGCCTGCTCCTCCAAACCCGCCTGGGAGAGTGAAAATGCCCCATTTCTCCCAGTCCTGCTGGGGCTTCCATCCTCCAGGGGCTCAGCAGCACAGAGCCCACCTGCCCCCTCGCCTGACCTCCAGTGCCTAGGGAGCCAGAGTCCCAAGCATGAGATTATGGTCCGCAAACATAATGCAAATGACCAATACATGCAGACAGCATAGAAACGATCATGTGACACTGCCTAGCCAGGTAGCCTGAACAGGCTAACCCAAGCACAGTGTGTAGGGGGCAGGCGGTGGGGAAAGGCAGATACAACAGAGAGGTTGAGGCAGACTGGGCGTGGGGTATGCTGGAAGGCTGGGGCTTAATTCTGATTCGGTTCTCTTTGTCGGCATGGTTAGGCTCTTGGGCTGGGGAGAAGAGGTGGGGTGTGAGGAGGATCGGGGGCAGGTGAGAGAGCAGAAAGAGGCTGGTGTTTGAGGAGCTCCTGCCGTCTGAAGACCCTTTCCCATCTCTCCCCACGTCATCTGCTCTCTGCCCCAAACGTTCCCCTCTTCCCTGCTTGCTCTGCTGGTGTGTATGCCTCTGTGAGCGGTGAGGTGGGCTGGCGGAGTGCAGGGGATGAGAAGGGCAGAGTGAGTGCTTTGAGGGGGGACCATCCCGGAGGCTGCATGGCTCAGCGGTCAGTCGGGAGAGTGGAGGTAGCAGGGGAGCTGGAGAGGCAGGAATGCCTGAGAAGGGGGTGGCAGCAGAGGAGATCCCAGTGGGCAGGGAGTGGATGATCCTTGCCGTGGCGGGATTGCAGAGCTGGGAAGGAGGGGCGCGGAGTGCATGCCTGGGGCTGGCTCTGCTCTGGAGCACATGGCTGTTCACCCCCCGTCCCTCCACCATGTGACCCTTGCAGACGTGTGCGGCGATGAGGAGGTCCGGGCCAAGCTGCTGGAGCTGAAGCACAAGCATGATGTCATCATGAAGTCTCACGACAAGCACAAGTCGCTGCTGCAGCGACGCACCTCCAGCGCTGGCAGCCGAGGGTAAGGCCGGGGGGGACCGCTACGGACAGCTGGCCTCCCTCGCAGGGGGAAGAGGCCACCCCAGAGCAGGACCCTCATTCCCAGGGGCCAGGCAGATCTGGGGAACTCAGCTGAGGCTTCCCGTCATCGGAGCTCCAGACCCTTCGCACCTTAGCTGCAGCTAGGCTCTGATGTCCCCTGCACCCACCGGCTTTGTGCCCAAACTGAACACAGGATGGCGCTCTGCTGCCATCGGGGCTGCTGTTAATGGGCACCCAGGCACCACCCTCCCCCGCCAGCTGAGCAGGCTCCAGCAAAACCACGCCTTTTAAATGTGTAGAACGGCTTGAATATAATCTGTGCCCATCCCAGTGGGGGAGGTTTAGGTTGGATATTAGGAAAAACTTTTTCACTAAGAGGGTGGTGAAACACTGGAATGCGTTACCTAGGGAGGTGGTGGAATCTCCTTCCTTAGAGGTTTTTGAGGTCAGGCTTGACAAAGCCCTGGCTGGGATGATTTAACTGGGAATTGGTCCTGCTTCGAGCAGGGGGTTGGACTAGATGACCTTCTGGGGTCCCTTCCAACCCTGATATTCTATGATTCTATGATCCCCTTCATCCGTAACCATGGAAAGATAAGTGATCAGGCCAGTGGCAGGATATCTCTGGGCCTGTCCATGCACCATCCGCTCCGCTTTTCAGCACCAGCTGGAAATGAATGTCCTGCAGGCGTTTGCCCCCGACCGAATAGCAGCTGTGGAGAGGTCAGTCCCTGGCGTTCATCTGCCCGGCACTGGCTCGCTCCCTGGCGGGAAGCACTCCCCTGGTTTCCAGCCATGCTGATCCTGCTCTCCGCTGTCCCCAGGAAGGTGGTGCGGCGGGTCAGCGTGACGGAGCGCACCAACCTGTATCGCAAGGAGCACGAGAAAGAGGCCATCGTCTGGCAGCAGGTGGAGCCCCGGGAGAACGAGGCTGAGCTTGAGGACGAGGACAAGCAAACGGACGCTGAGCTCCAGCAGCACCTCTCCGTGAGTAGGGGCCTCGCCCTAGTGGGGACAGCCACAGCACCCCCACATTCCCTGCAGCCCCTTGGCACGCCGTGTTGGAGTGAGACGGCCGCGTTGCATGGTCCTGCCTGGCGCTGAGCATGTCTGTCTCCTGACCCTCTTCTCAGCTCCAGGGAGAGGAGAGGTGGGTTCCCCCTCACTGCTACCCCCACCCCGAATGGGTGCTCAGGGCTCCTGCCTCCACCCAGCAGCAGCAGGCTCCGAGAGCCCTGGACAAGGCTCTTGGGTGCCCCATGTGGTTGGAACCGAGTATCACTGGCCTAAACCACCCGAGCACGTCCCAGGTCCTGCTCCCCTGGCAGCCCTTAGCACTTCCCTCCCAGCGCCCCATGTGCCCCCAGCAGCCCCAAGCCTGTGCTAGTGGGACCCCCCAATGGATTCCTGCAGGGCTCCAGGTGTCCAGATCGAAGGCTGAGTACTGTACTGTTCTCCTTCCCATCAGGGCGCCGAGGCAGAAGTGGCAGGTCCAGGGGTCTTGGTGGGAGACGAGCATCAGAATCCGGGACTGAGCCAGAGAAATGGAACTGCGGGCTCTTCTGCCCCTGGCCCCCCCAAACACCTCTACTCCAAGAGGCTGGACCGCAGCATCTCCTACCAGCTGGCCACCCAAGAGGAGCTGTCGGCCGACCTGTGCAAGGAGAAGTCCCACCACACACTAGCGGACCTCAAACGCCAGCGGGCAGCAGCCAAGCTCCAGCGACACCATCCAGAGGACTATCCTCCCACCGAGGGTGAGGGCCCCCTCGCGCCTGGCCTCGCTGAGACCCTGCGCAGCAGCAGTCACCCCCGCCTGGACGTGGAGCAGAACTCTGTCTACTACACGGCAGCCAGTGGCGACCCACCTCTTCTGAAGCTGACGGCCCCGGCCGAGGAGACCCCCGCTGAGAAGAACAGATGCTGTAAGCTGATGTGAGGCGCTGGCAAGAGAAGGTGTTGGTGGGGTGTGTCCCCTCCCTGGCATTGACCGATGGCACTAATGCCCCAGGGGGCTGCCTCTGGAACGCTGCAGCAGGGTCGGTTCTGGGAGCTGGTTTATCTTACAGGGACTCATCCATGTTCCAGACCCAGACACCGATCAGTGGCCGGGATCCAAGCGCCCCATCATGGGCAGCAGGCTGGGAGCCAGAGGCCTGCCCAAATGGGAGCAGAATGCAATGACCTTCGTTGTCAGTACAGATTTGTGTCCTGGACTGTCTACGGCTCCCTGCATGCAATTTGCCAGCCCCTGCTTGGGTCAGCCCATAGCACGTTGCATGCTGGGAGCTGCAGTTGCAGAGGGCTGCATCTCTGTTGGACCTGGTGGCGTTGAATGTTGTGTAAAATGCTGGGCCACTTTTGGTCAGTTGGAGGGTCCCTCCCAGGGTGTCTGTCTGTCTGTCTGGGGTCTGCGTGTGGTTCGCAAGAAGGAGTGGAAAACCTATGGGAGCCCTCAGAGCACAGTGTATACCACGCATACAGCACTGGGGGGCGAGGGGATGTCCCCATGCTTACCTGACACGAAGGCAAACGGCTGCAATGGGGTGAGAACGTTTCTCTTTACACAGAGTTTGTAGCCCAGCAGTCCCATCCTAGGCCTGGGCTGCACACGAGCTGTCCTGGTTTAACGAACGTGCATTTCAAACAGGATGGAAAGCCGTGTAGGTCCCCATGCACGCCCTTTGTGGTGGCTTACAACTGGCTTAGATCACACTCACTGGCTTGGATTCACTAAAGGAAGCGCTGGACTGCGCTTGGCCGTGTGCTGGAACAAGGCCGTCGGCTGTAATTCCCATCTTTTCTTCCAGCAGCGTTAAACTGAACTCTGAATTCAGCGCGGCCATACGCAGCCTTGCACTGAAACAGCCAAAGGTGCGGATGGATGCTGAGTTCACCACGTCAGTGCAAGTCTGATGTGGGTCCGCCCCAAACAACGTGGATAGAAGCTCGTTGTAAACCAGTATGTGTCCACATTGCACAGTGGGTTTGTGTGGGTTTAACTACATTAATCTGAACCCCTGTGCCCCCATGGTACACCACACCATGGTGCCGTGTGCCCTCCCCTCCCCCCCCCAGAGGACACCTGGTGTGGGGCTGTGTGCCCAGCCCCTTGTGAGCTCCTGCCCTCAGCAGTAAAATCACTTCAGCAAAGCACCTCACCCCAGGCCAAGCACAGCCTCTTGTGCTGGCTGCTCTCCCCAGGAAACACGGCCTGCGAGCGGGACATGGGAGCTGGTTTCTGGCCCCACAGTCTTTTGGGGCCTTGGCCAAGCTATGGCGCTTCCCAGGGCTCAGCGTCTGCATCTGCCAGAGCGGGAGCTGTGGAGGCTGATGAATCTGTAATGGTCTCTAGCCGCCCGTGCCTGGGCCCTCGGAGCAGCGCTCGAAATGGGAGCAGTCTTGGACAGCGCCTCCTGCTCCCCATTGCTTACACGGGGCTCGAACAGGGCATGCCGATGGCACCCTTCTCTTCTCCCGTTCTCTGCAGAAACGCCGGCCCACCGCGTGTCCCCTCCCTGCGCAGGTGAGACATGTTTTTGTCCTCCTGCTGCATGAGGCTCCCAGGAGCCTTATGTTGAACCCTGCACCTCCACCCGAGGGCAGCACTGGTAGCATCTCAGGCGTCCGAGGGCTACCCCAGCTTCACGCCCATTGAGGGGTGCCCTCAGGGGCCCAGGCCCAGTGTGCCAACTCCCAGGTGAGCTCAGCAAAGCCCCTTTGGCCTGCTGCGGAGGGTGGCATGCTGGAACCTGGAGGCCTGTCCCTCTCTATTAATGACTGGGGGGGCTATGGCAGACTTCCATTGACGTAGGGCCTCAGACTCTGCCTTCTCGGCCTGCCATGCTGTTGCTCCGGCGCCGGGCTCTACGATTAGAACTTCAGGAGGCGGGTGGAGTGGAAGTGGAAGAGCTTCAGCTAGAAATGTTCTCGCCTTTCAGCCACAATCAGGAGCATGCCGCTCTCTGGGATCCAGCCGGCTGGGGGGTGGCGTCCCTCTGGGGGGTGGCTCTCGTGGCTTGCAATAGCTTATCCCCTAGATGGGATTGTCCCCGCTCGCTTATTCCTCTCTGCCCCGTTGCATCCAGTCGTGGCTATTCAAACCCACGTGCTAGGCCTCTCGTCCCTCTGTTCTTCACCACCCCTCACGGCCAGCGAAGCATCAGCCAGCCCCATCTCCCCAGCCGAAGATCAGCCCTAGCAAGGGCCCAGCTGGATGTAATGCTGCCCACTGGCTGGGGGAAAGCAGGAACCTCACCTTTGAATCCTCTGGGGAACCCCCTTCAGCTCTGACCCTCCAGCTTGGAGAGAGCATCTCTAGGCTGAACTTGTACTGACCGCGGGGCCAGTGAAATCTTTCCTCCCATGGTGGTTCTGCTCCAAGAGCCTCCTGCCTGCCCCTGGGAGAATACAACTGTAGGGAGCTCTGGGCCTCTGCTAGGCTCTGGGGCTTGTGCTCGCCAGCGATGGCGGCTGGCGTAAAATCCCCTGCCGGGACCGGACTCTGCACGGTGTGTTTGTACACGGTGTGTTTGTTCGTTTTGTATGGAGCACTCTCCTTTGATCACAAAGTCCATTTCCAAGGAGTTCTGTAGCCTTGGTTCCAGCCCAGTCGAGCTGCCCGCCGGCGGGTTCGGAGGTGCTGATTTTATACTTTACTTGGCACAATCTTTCTTGATCTCTCCAGGTTTTGATTTGTAGCTCCTGTTGTCTCTTTATTTCCTGTCCACAATAAACCAACATTGGAGCAGTGAGCAGCCCTTGTGCTTGGGCCCAAATGTGTCTCCGCCTCCACCCCCTGAAAGAAATGAGTTAGACAGAGCTGGGCTGCCCCTCCCTGGACCCAGGCAATGCAAGGATCCACTGCTGGGTGTTCTGCCACCCCAGCTCAGGGTGTGTCTCTGCACGGGGGATGGGCCTTCAGGATCCACACCCCTGAGCAATTGGGCTGCAGAGTGGGGCTCACCCTAGCGGTGGGTGCTGTCACTGGCAGCCGTTAACCCTTAGCACCCTGGCACCCAGGAGTATTGGGATTCCTAACACTCAGCCTTCCGGAGTAGCCTGAAAACGCCCCAGTCCCGCTCCTGTCTCTGCCTGAGAGGCAGGGAGGCCTGGGTTCCAGATGTTCCCATTCACTACGTCTGGGTGGGGCTGGGACAGAGTGTTCTGCTAACAAGATGGTCTCACAGGCATGGTCGTTAGGAGGGAAGAAGGGTCTAGTGGTCACAGCAGGACATGGATCCAGGACCCTGGGTTCTCTTTTGAGTGTACTCTGCGTATTCCGGCTCAGGGAGAGGTAGAACTCGAGCTAGCAGACGTGCCTCACTCACCCTTTCTTCAGTGACGGTCGCCCATGCCAGGGTGAGGGTTTCAAGGAGGGTCGCACGCCAGCTGCCTCCGTTCCCTCGAACCACGTGTTGGGTGAAGCTCGGGGATCTTTCAGCTCCGTGATTAGGTGGCAGAGCAGTCAGCTTGTCTACGAAGTCAAACGCAGGGTGGTTCAGGTGGTGATTTACAATCCGATGGTGTCCTGCTCTCAGAACAAGCAAGGGGGGACTCGTTCTCTACGGTTACACCTGGAGCAAAGAGCCTTTGGAGCTGACGTATCGGTTACAAGGTTCATCCAGTAGCAATCCATGTAGCGGGGAGAAAACTGTCTGAGTTGGTCAGTATGGCAGATGCACAAGTGATCTTTGAAGGACGAAACAGTAAAACACCTCTTCAGTTTAGGGGCCCCTCTGACAACACATCCCATGTGGCCAGCAGCAACAGACGTGTCAGAAATTTTGCTTGAGAGCAGGCAGAGCCAGGGAATCGCTATCGAATGCCTTTCGAATGCACTGAGGTCAGGGCTTCCCCCATTTCCCCTCATTCAGAAAGTGATAAACAAGAGAAGCCACGGTAATTTTAATAGCACCAGCATGGCCCAGGTAATGGTATCCGCCCTTAACTCACCTGTCCAGAGGGCTAATGGAGCCTCTGCCACTGGCCTTGGACTTGTAGCAACCACAGGGGCTGGTTTCTTACTCAGATCTACACTCTCCATTTAATTACAGTGGGCATGTTAGAAGAAAAGTGATTCATTCAAGGTGCAAAATGTGCTGTTGCATTCTAGGAACGTGTCCACATGGAAGCATCATTGTCACACATGGAAAAGATTTTTATTGTGGGTTCCCATGTATGGTATAGAGCCAGGTGCCGCACCACTTAGTTCCATTTTATAATGTTTATGGTACCAAAAGGAAACAGATCTTTCACTGTCTTCAGGAAAGGGTCCTCTCTCAGCCATATCAGCGTATTGGGTACGAGGGGGGGTGTGTGTGCATGCGCGCAAACTAATTTTATTAATGATGGAGTTAAAAGGTTCTTAAAGAGCCTAAATAATTTGTACCCTCCACTAAAACTCACTATGCCAGCTTGGGATTTACCCATAGAGCACTCACAATTGATGGACGCCCCCTCCCGCCCCCCCTTTGAGGGTGTAGGAAGCTGTAATTTATTTCATTTGTCTACTAAGACAGTGTTTTAAGAGCCCTCACCTCCGCCAGGTGTACATACATTAATGGCTGATCCGCCCATCACAGGTTTTCGTAAAAACAAGGTAATTCTCCATATACACTCCCAATGTTTTTAACGAAAGTGATCGATTTTCCTATAAACCAGTTTACCTTTTTACTGGTTTTTCCCCCAAGCCCCCTTCTCAGGCTGGAGAGGCTGTTACATGCTCTGGACGTTAGAGGCATTTTAGCCTTTATCTAGACAGGATGGAACAATTCAGACGGTCCCCAAACTTGTTTATTGCTTATAAAAGAAAGAACAAGGGAAAAGCTGTTTCTGTACAAACCCTGTCACCATGGGTCAGACCGTTTTAAAGTCGTTTATTAATTGAAAGAGTCGGCCCTTCCTCGGGGGGTCAGGCCGCTAGATCAAGGGCAACTTCTGGGGCTTTTTCTAAACACTGCGCACTCCCATCTGTAACCTAGGTCTCAGGCAAGATTGGGCAGGGCAGCCCTGCAGGCCTTATTTCATTAGGACCCCGTGGTCCCATCAGCCTGGACCCGAGTACTGCCTGTTAATCTAGCCCATGAGTGGGAAAGGGCAGAGGACACTCAAAGGAGAAACAAAGGTTGCTTGCCTGTCACCGGAGTTCTTCGAGACGGACTCTCCGCCTGCCATGCCCCTCGACCGCGGAGTCCTACTGACCAAAGGGGTTGGGGGTCACAGGGGAGGGAACTGAGGTGGCTGCAGCACCATGCCCGGTTTATGCGCTTGTCCTGGGACGTTTGAGGGGCGAGGGAGGCGGGTGAGAGCCTATTCAGGTGGCACCTGTTGGCGCATCCTATGAGTGTGGCCATGCAGCGGCCGTCTCCCAGATCCTTGGTTACAGGTAAGGAACCTTCATTGCTCTGCCTGGCTCTGCCCCACCTCACTCTTTGCCCGTGGTCCTGTCACTTCCCCTCTCTGTGCCTCAGTTTCCATTGGAACGTGGGAGTCTGCGGGAATGAACGTTTGAGGCTGAAGTGTTACCAGTGACGTATTGAATGAGACGCTCTAGCCCATGATGCGCTGAGCCCCTGAGGAGCCGACTGTCTTTCCCTGAGCCCCGTCCTGCTGCTGCCCCATTTCTAGCAGAGGCAGGGGCCATGGGAAGGCAGCGCTGCTGGCTCCCAGCCCCTTCCGCGCTCTCCACACCGTGGGGAACTGGCAGCCAGCTCCCCACCTCTCCGGGTCCAGGGGATTTCTGAGCCATTCCTGCAGTGTCCTGCTCCATTGTTCGTCCCTATGGATCTCCACTCCCCTTGGGTCAGCCTGGCCAGATCACAGGGGAGGGGGAGGTGTGATGGCAGGAGGGTTCCTTGGGGGCTGCTTGGGCAGTGAGCTACTATCACCCCACCCCACTGGGAGTGGGACTGCCCTATTGCTGGCATGGGACCCTAGAGCAGCTGCTGTGGTGGGGGGTGATCACCAGAGAGTCTGAATTCATTGGAGCTTCTCTCTTCCCCTTTGTCAATCTTGTTCCCCTGCTCTAGTTCTCCCCAGCCCCCATCCTTGCGTGTGAACCTGGCTGGGGCTGGAATTAGGGAAAGGCAGCCAGGTAGTGGGAGGGAGTTAAGGTGGGGGAGGGGGTTGTGCCCTGGGGAAGGGGGTTGGGGTGGGGGTGCCAGGTAGTGGGAGGGAGTTAGGGTGGGGGGAGGGGGTTCTGAGTGGGGGTTGGGGTGCAGGAGGAGGTTCCGACCAGGGGTTGGGGTGGGGCTGTGGGGTCTGGGAGGGAGTTAGGGTGCAGGAGGAGGTTCCGACCAGGGGTTGGGGAGGGGCTGTGGGGTCTGGGAGGGAGTTAGGGTGCAGGAGGAGGTTCCGACCAGGGGTTGGGGAGGGGCTGTGGGGTCTGGGAGGGAGTTAGGGTGCAGGACGGGGTTCCGACCTGGGGCAGGGGGTTCGGGGTGCGGGCTCCAGCCGGGCGGCACTTACTTTAGGCAGCTCCTGGTTAGCGGCACAGCGGGGCTAAGGCAGGCTCCCTGTCTGCCCTGGCTCCGCGCTGCTCCTGGAAGTGGTTGGCATGTCTGGCCCCTAGGCAGAGAGGCCAGGCGGCTCTGCGTGGCGCATGTTGCCAGTGCCTGCGGGCATTGCCCCCGCAGCTCCCATTGGCCGTGGTTCCTGGCCGATGGGAGCTGCAGAGCCCACACTGGGAGTGAGGACAGCACACGGAGCTTCCCGGATCCCCCTGCACCTAGGGGCCCGACATGGCGGCTGCTTCCTGGGAGCTGTGCGGAGCCAGGGCAGGCAAGGAGCCTGCCTTCGCCCTGCTGCCCCGCCAACTGGACTTTTAGCAGCCCTGTCAGCAGTGCTGAGCGGAGCCGGCAGGGTCCCTTTTCGACCAGGCGTTCTAGCCAAAAACCGGACACCTGGCAACCCTACCCCAGATCAGTGGCCGCTTTTGAACTGGAACGTAGGACTCTGCCCTGGATTGGCCCTCAGAGGAGCTGCCTGTGAGCGAGAGAGAGCCAGGGCAAGCGCCCCTTCCCGAGTCCTGGGGTGGGGGCAGCCTTCACCCTACATCTGTGCCTGCAGGTCAGTGGGGCACGCGGCTCGGCCAGCATTAGCCCTGCTGAGGACAGTGTGTCCCAAAGCCCCGGGATGGTGGTGCTGCCCAGGCCCAGTGCATCCCACATGGGGCTCGCAGAAGAAGAGGCTGGTGTCCCATGTGCCCAATGGGGGCGGAGGGTCTGACTCCAGGGCTTCGCTCTGGCTGTGGGGGCTGGTTTGGGTTTGCCAGGATCCCCCTGCCCCCAAAGCTGCGTGCATGGGGGGAGGGATGGGGCTGGCGCTGCCCTTTGGCTCTGTGCCCTGGGCCAGCTTTCATCCTCTGGCCCATGACCGGCAGCCTGGGAGAGCCAGGATACTGCTGTGGGGGTCCAGGGAGGTTGTTGGGATTCTGCCCTAGAGCAAGTCCTGCCCACAGAAACTCTCTCTAATCCTAAGGCCCTGCCACCCCCTTCTGATCCCTGCAACCCCAGGAAACCTCCCTCTGATCCTGGCACCCTGTCCCTCATCCCGGAAACCCCCCTCTAATCCCCGTACCCTGCTCCATTGCCCTTCCCTTTCCCCGGACGTGTGTGTGGAGCAGGCTGGTTTCTCCTGCAGCCCTCTGAGAGGGGCCATCTCCAATGGCGGCTGATGCCCTTCGGGCCCTCGGGTTGGGGAGGAGCCAAGCTGCCCTTCTCGCTTGGCCCCAGTTTCAGGCCCCTGCCCCCCACTTCCCTACAAGGCAGAGAAGGGTGAACACTGGGTTGTTGCTCCCCCCGTGCCCTGCAGTGCGCTGGGCTGGGGCCGGCCTGGTCCAGAGCCTTGGGCTCCTATGACGCGCTGGGCTCTGGGAGATCTGCAGGGCCCGGAGGGGGCTGGACCCCCTCCAGGGGGTGAGACTAAAACCTTCGTTGTGGCCTGCCCTTGGCACGGGACCCTGGGCGGCTCTGCCCGTCTGCGCGGGTGGGCTCGGAGGGGCTGCCTGCGTCAGGGGCCTGCAGCAGTCAGACACTGATCCCTGGCACAGGGCAGGCTGGCACCCGGGCCCCCGTCCTGCCCTGCTCAGGTGGGCATTGGAGGGGGCTGTGGGGCTGGCAGGGCTCGCCGGGGTCGGCGAGTTCAGCGGTTGCTCCTGCAGGCTGATCCATGCCACAGCCCGGGGGCAGAGGACGGCGGGGGTGGAGCGATGTGGTGCCCGGGACCGGCAGGGCTTATCTCCTGCCTGAGCGGGTCTGTCCCTTGGCCAGTTCAAACTCCACCGGCGCCGTGGCACCTTGCCCCCCAGGGAGCGAGGGGGAGGGGCGGGATTCCAGGATTCTGCTCTCGTTGGGGGTGGGGTGGGGGTGTGTGCGTGGTCCCTCCCCACGCTGCCAAGAGAGAGCGAAAGCAGCGTCACGCTGCACCTGCTCTGCGGTATCACCCCACCCATGGTCAGGGGACAGGGTCCCCTCTCGGTGTCCCCGGTTCTTGGAGGATGGGCCCAGTCTCTGTGCCCCGCCCCCAGCCCAAACTGGCCTTGTGACTCCAGTTGCCCTGCGCGGAGGGGGCGCTGTCCTGGCACGGTGCCCGTCCCCCGGCCTTGCTGAGGGCATGGCCAGGGCTCGGGAAGTGGCATCCCTGAGCCCAGCTGTTGCCAGAGCCCTTTGGGACAGGGCATGAAGGTTGTGGGTGGGGGAGCTGATACCTTCCCTTGTCACCCCCAAACTTTGCCCTCCAGGGGAATTTCCCCAGACTTTCTGCAAGGGGTGTCCCCCAGCCCCTAGCACAGACCCTCCATCCCAGGGCAGAGGGCGTCTCAGCCAGGGCCTGGGGGAGCCCTCGCAACTGGTGATACGGCCCTTCCAGACAATTGGGGGCTCTGATCAGCTGCACCCCTCACCCCACCATTAACCCTGTCACTGCCATGCAGCCCCCTGGCTCCCTGGTGGACATGGTTTAAAGCAGGCCTGGCACTCCAGCCCAAAGGACAGGGGTGCCCAACTGCACCCAGGTGGCTGGAGGGGTGTGGGGGAGGGCATTGCACCTCCATTGCCCCCTCAGGGTGAGGGCCAAGGGTATCTGTGTGGGGAGGGAACTGGCATGAGGGGGCCCTGGGGGCTGGGCAGAGGCACCCAGTGCTGGGCTGGCAGGGAGGGGTGTGGAGGGATGGCTGGTAGGGGGGCGGTCTGGGGGAGGGTAGGTAGGTCACTGGAATGGCCTCTGGGGATAGGAAGAGCGGGGGGGGGGGAGGAGCTGCTGGGGGCTGGGCTCCTGGGAGCTGAATCTCCCCACCTCACCTGTTGATATCTGAGCAGGGCCCCAGGCGCTCCCCCCCCCCCGACGAGTGCCCCACTGACTGCTCCAGCTGTCGGCTGTGGGGCTAGCCTGACAGTTGGGCTGGGATGGCCCCAGCCGGGCCAAGGGACAGGCCAGACCTGATTCCTCGTGGCATGTGGCTGGCAGCAGATCCCCTGCCGGGGGGCAGGGAGGGGAGGGCAGCAGTGGGTCAGGCAAGGGGGTGTCCAGAAGGGGTTCACCTACCGGGGCTGATGGTCACCAGGCAGCTCCAGGCTGTAACAGCCCCGACCCCCGGCCAGGTGGTCCTTGTGTGGGTGGGTCCCAGCACAGACCCCCGGGGATGGGCGTGGTGCAAAGAGCCAACTCAGCTAGCCCTGACTGGCAGAAAGGCTGGGTACAGGCTGGCCCATGGAGCCTGGGTGCCCCTCTCCCTCCAGGTATGTCTGGCAATTGGAGATGAGTTCCCTGCTGCCCCGCCCCCGGAGTTGCGCCCACCCCCAGGCACAGGACAAGGCCCCAACAGTGGGGCTGCCCCTCCACAGTGCTGGATCCCAGAGACCACCACAGCCAGCTGCAGATCACAGGGACGGGCTCGCAGCGACTAGCCCCACAGGCAAGAGGGCACCGTGGCTCCGTGCATGGGACAAGCATAGGAACCCGCTCAGGCCTCCTGGGGGAGGCAGGGCTATCCTCCACTAGACGGGGAAACTGAGATAGAGATTGGGCAGGGCCTGTGTTTCAGAGGGCAGGTGCTGGGCACTTGTGAATGTCGGCCCCTATAAGGGGTCTCAGCTCATGCACCCAGCCCCCCAAAAAACAGCACGCACAGAATGACTGGAATCCAGTGGCCCAAGGCTGCGTGTCCCAGGGTGCTAGGGCAGGGATCCATGCCCCCAGCGCCCGGGCACCGCCGGAGCCACCCTGCAGGGCTCCCACCCAGAGGGCAAGCCCTGGGCATTCACCCGCTCAGCTGGGCGAACTCGCCCCCCCGCCATGAGTAGCTGAGGGAGCGCAGGGTGTGCGTCTCCTCTCCAACAGCCGAAGGGCGTCGCGTGGGCTGGGGCAGGCCAGACCCCAAGTGTTATCTGGGTTCGACGGACGCCTGCCCCAGCCACTGGCCCCCAGCTCTGCTCCAGCCCCCCCGGGGGGGAGGGATGGAGGTGGGCAGTGGGAGTGGCTGGGGGAGCTGCCGGGAGTGCGGCAGGGGCGGGCTGGGGAGACCCAGCTCTTTACATTTCCTGAGCCGGCCGGGGCTGCCCCCGCCAGGCAGCTGCTCCTGGAAAGGTCACGCAGCTGCTCGGGCTGCACACAGAGCGAGGTGACGCCCTCCCAGCCGCCCGCCGCAGCTCTGCCACAGGCTCCGGGGAGCGTGCGCTGGCGGGAGGGAGCCCCTGGGAGCCGAGGAGAGTGCCAGGCCCCCAGCGAGGTGAGTGCCAGCCCGAATGGGCAGCTCCTTGCGCTCTGTGCTCCCAGGGCTGCCTGGACCCGGGGCAGGGCACCAGCCTTTGGGTCCTTTGGGTGGCTGATGCCCAGCAGCGCCCCCTGCAGCCTGGCATCGAGGGAGCAGCTCCCATGGAGCTTTGCTTTATGCCCCGCTGCTCCCCTAGCCCAGCCCAGCACGCTCCCTCCAGGGCTACCTGGGCTGGGGCAGCTGCCAGGGCAGGGCAGCAGGGGGCGCTGGCTGGTCAGGTCACAGCCCCTTGCAGCGGGGAGCGCAGGGCTGTTCACTGGAGCTCACCCGCGGGTGGGACCACCCAGGCCAGGCAGTCCTTCTCCGTCGTCCTGCTGTGACTATCCCAGGCGGCGGGGCTCCCCGTCCCCAAGATTGTGCCCCCAGGGCTGTGCCCGACACCCGTGTTCCTTGGCTCAGTGTCATCCCACTGCTTTCGATTTACCCCCTGGCTCCCCCTTCCATGGTCCCCTCCCCTGGTCCCACGCCTCCGGGGCAAGGCCTGGCGGGACACAACCTCGTGGTTCCAAGCCCCGATGCTTCGGGCGGCTCAGCTCTGGACATCCTGCCCTGTGCCAGTGGTGTCTGGTACTGCAGGGCCCAACACCGGCTCTGCGTGCGGCACCTGGGGGCGCCGGGGCAGGAGGCCCCTGGGTCTGCGGTCCCAAATCACCCTGGGCAAACGCATCCACGTCCCACTGCAAACTCCTGCCTGAGTCATTCGGGGGCTGGGGATTGGGCTCTTCCCAGTCCAGAGCAATCGCTGCGTTTCCAGCCGCGGTGCTGGGCCCTGCCCCATGTCCCGTCTCCCCCAGCTGCGGTGCTGGGCCCCCCCCCCCGTCCCATGTCCCCTGCACTAGTTCTCCGTCCTTGCTGCGTGTCCAGCCGCGGTGCTGGGCCCTGCCCCTTGTCCCCTGCGCTAGTTCTCCGTCCTTGTGGGGTTTGCAGCTCGCCACACGTCATGTCATCTGGGCAGCGTCATTACTAGTGATTGCACCAGTTGGGGGGCGGAGGGGGAGGGTCTGTTTATTCGGAGCGGGGTGGGGAGCGACTGCCCGCTCTGCGGGTGCTCCTGGCTGGTGCTGACGGAGCCAGTCTGGAAAGGGACTGGGAGTCTCAACAGCTGGTGATTGAGAAGGTGGGGCTGGGACCTGCAGCCCTGGCAGGAGGCCCAAGGCAGGAGGGGCCCAGCACCCCCCATGCAGCCTATCAGGTCCCACCAGGCCGGCACAGCCTCCGGCTGGGCTCAGCTCACATGGACTGATAATCAGTCAGGTCCAGGTGGGTGTGTCAGCAGGGCCCTGCCGTGCCACTTCTCCGTTAACCCGCCCAGTGCTGGAACCTGGGGAGGAGGGCGGCATAACCTCCTTCTCCCTGAATCTTCCTGCTTGGCTGGGAAGTGGGGCCAGGGGGCACCTAGATTGGGCACACCCCTGCCCTGACCTATTTCTGGAATCCCCTCCGGTTTTGGGACGTTACCTTGAGCCTCTTCCTCACTGAGGGCTGGTGCCTTGGCCTGGCTGGGGCAACCAGAGTCTGATGGACCCAAGCAGGAGGGGGATTGCGGGCTAAGCCCTGGCAGGTGGCAGTGCCCTGGATGCAAACGGTGCAAACTCACCCAGACTCTGAGTCACCCTGAGCAGCTGGGGCAGGGGGAGCTTGGGAGGTGCCGAACTCACCCTGCTCTAGAGAGGGAACTTGCCGTACAGACTCCATGGAGCCGGGGGTTGTAACTGGACGAGCCAACTTCTGCCAGGGTGGCCTAAACCGGCTCAGCGGCTCCTGTGCACCTGGCTGAAGTTCAAGGGCTTCTCCATGGTCATTAGCATCGCGTCACCGCACAGGAACCTGGGCTGGTCCCCAGGGACACGCCCCGGCCCCTGGCAGAGCCACGGGGCCGGGAGCTGGCTGAGAACCCCCAAGGCCACCCAAGAGCCACATGCTGGGAATGGCGCTCAGGCCTCCTGCCTGCCTGGGCTCGAACCAGCGACTTGGCTGGATACCTGTGTATGTGGCAGGGCGGGAACGTGGAGCCGATATCAAGAGACATCCTAACAAAGCACAGCTGCGGGCTTTGGGGACCCAGCCGAGCATGACAGCAGGAGAATTGGGGCTGGCCCCAGTGCAGCGTGAGGGGCCGCTGTGCTGCAGGGAGCAGGGTGGGGCTCAGTAGAGGGCGTTCTCTCACAGTCAGTGCTGACCCTATTACCCAACAAGCAGCAGGGGCCGCTGTGCTGCAGGGAGCAGGGTGGGGCTCAGTAGAGGACGTTCTCTCAGTCAGTGCTGACCCTAATACCCAATAAGCAGCAGGGGGCGCTGTGCTGCCAGGAGACTCACTAGGGGGCGCTCTCCCCTGGCAGGCAATGTTGGCCCCAATGGCCCAGCCCCGCACTAGGGGGCGCTGTGCTGCAGGAGGTGCCATCTTTTGAATGAAGCCTACGACCGAGGTCCTGCCCGCTTGGTGGCCATTAAAGATCCCAGGGTACGTTTGCAGGCGTACAGGAGTTACCCCCGTGTCCTGGCCAAATCCCAGTGGCCATGATTCCACTGCATCCCCTTTAATTTCAGCTGGGCACAGGATTCTTCTTCACTTCCTCTCCTAAAGCGCTCTGTGCTGTTACTGCTCGCTGGGACGGCTGCTGCGCTCCACCCCAGCAGTGGCTGCAGGAATCCCTCAAGGGTCGGCGCTTGTAAATCAGTATATTAATCACCTTGGGATCCTTGCGGTGTGACTGTGCCCCCTGGCCCAAGTGTCCTTCCCCTGGCTCCCTGGGCTGGGGGCCGGTCCCCTCGCCACCCAGAGGCCTTCTTGCCAGCGCTAATGGGGGCGGGGGGTTACAAGGCTCAGCTCTGCCTGGTGCCAGACTTCTGCCTGTTGGCTCTGCCCACTGGCGCTTTTCCCCTCACCAGCCTCCTGGCAAGACCCAGAGACACCCCTCCCGATGCCCCTTTGCTGGGTTAAATAGCCACGGGAGGAGAACTCGAGCCGGGGGGCCAGCGAGAGAAGGGAGATGGAAACGGACCGGAGAGCTGGACAGAGGCTGCTGGAGGCAGGGCAGAGGGGCAGCGGGTGAGGGCGTTACAGGGTGGCTGCTCCAGACAGGAGGCGCTGCAGTGGAGGGGACATTCTCCTGCACAGAGAGCTTGGCGTTCGGGGACCCGGCCATGTATAAGCTGCAGTAATAGCTTTCGGCTACGCGGGAGCCCTGCAGGAATGATCAGAGCAGCAGACTGGCAGCCAGGATGCCCTATTCATGGCTCTGCCATTGGCTCACTGGGTGACCTTGGGCAAGTCATTGCCCCTCTCTGTGCCTCAGTTTCCCCATTGGCAAATGGGGCCCACCCTGCTCTCCCAAGGGGACTGCGAGGTGTCAAGCACGTTGATATTCCTGGAGGGGAGTCGGTCTGCTTGTGCTGTAGGGACCCAGGGACTGATCCAAAGCCAACCTGCCTCAGAGCTTGGCAGCGGCAGAGGGGAGAGTGCCCCCTACTGAGTCACCTGCCCTGTTCCCCTCAGCACAGCGCCCCCTTGTGCCGGGCAGGGGCATTGGGGTAGGGGCACTCTGCCCTTGCAGTTAGCGCTGTCCCCAGTGCCCCAGCAGAGTTTCATGTGGCTATGGGATTGCGCTTCACTCCCTGTCCCAATCTGCTGTGCCGTATTTCTGCTGAACGACTGCCATGCTCCACCCCAGAAATGGCTGCATTTCAGTGGTGGGGGAAGGGAGCCCCGTACACAGCCTGCAAAGCAGAGCACACTGGGATGACAGTCACCCCAACGAGGCTCAGAACTGGGGAGAGAATGGCTCAGCTGCTGCCTGACACCAGCTTCCAGCCCCTCAGCGCCCAGGGGACTCGGGCCCCGCAGTCCCGACCCAGGCTGGCTGGCTGACTGGCCCAGGCAAGATTTCACTGGGCCCAGCCCATTTGGATTGGGCAAGAATCAGCCAGAGCCGTTGCCCCAAACTGAACCCCAGAGCTCTTGAGGGCTGTAAAATCCCCAGCCTGTTTGCTGATGGCTGAGCCAGGGAGACCCTGCCCCCGCTCAGCGGATCCCCGCGGCGGTGGGGTGGGGGGCCCTTCTCGCGCTAACCCCAGATGCCGAAGAGCTGGTTCAGATTGTTTCCAGCTCACCCGGCTGAACTGAAAACTCCGGCTCCTCCGCCCCAACCTCTGCCCACTTCTGAAATTCCCCCGTGAGCACCACGGCCTTGGATCATACCGGCCCCCGGCCAGCACTGTGAAACCAGTTCCTTGCTGCACAGCGGGCCCCTCACCCCACTCCCTGTGGCCCTGGCTGGTCCGGCTCCACGCCGCTCTGCCTGCCAAGGTGTCCCCTTCACTCCACAGTGAGGTGGTGCCATGCTTGAGGGGCAGTGAAGGCCATTGTGCCACACTGTCTGCATCCCTGCTCCCATCGCCCTATTCTGGGGAGGAGCGGCCTCCCTTGAGTGGATCGCAGGCCGCTGGGTGGCTCCGTGCCCAGAGCTGGGTGCAGTTGACGTTCTCCAGCCGGCCCTGTGATCACCTCAAGCGGGGATGGTGGACTTGAGCATGCCTGAGCACCCATTACCCTAGGTCAGCCTGCGAAGGCTGGGCCCGGGGCCTCTGGCTGGCTTTGGGAGAGCCCAGCTGGTTGCCCAGCTCAGAGAGGGTCAATGCCCGTGAGATTCAGGAGTTATCAGTGGGTCCCTGTTCTAGGCTTTTCCCCTCCCACGGCTATTATTAATTCCTGAAATGCTTTAAAAACTCCACCTATTGACAGGAAAGCTCCTGCATCGTTAACGGGTCGCGTGGGTGAGCTGGAACACTCAGTAACAATCCGTCTCTCACCTTCTATGGAGGGGTCTCAAAGTGCTTTACCAAGGTGGGTGAGCACTGTAACAAACTGTTCTACTGTGTGCCATATGCACTATACTGCCAACAGACAATGGAGATTCTCCTCTACACCAAGTGGCATGAGCCAGTGCTTTCAGGACTGGATAATCTGAGCTGCCTATGCAGGATGGCACCAGGTCCTGGGTGGTCACTCACAGATACTATCCCCATGTTACAGAAGGAGAAACTGAGGCACAAAGAGATTTATCTGACTCAACCAAGCTCACAGAGCAAGTCAGGGATCAAACCCAGGTGTCTGGGTTACCAGCCCCACCCCCTGCCTGCGAGACGAGGCTGCCTCCCCGGATCAGTCCACTTGAATTGTTTAACCTGCCGGGACCCAAGCTCAGCTGGGTTCTACAGTTGGTGACATCGTTAACGCCCGATACTTGGGAGACAGCCCAGCCGGCCTCGGGCTCAGGCAGGTGAGTGGTGACTTGCAGCGTGTTCCCATAGGTGGCTGGAGGGGTGTTGTTAGGGCAGCAGAACGTGATGGCTTCTGTCCTGGCTGGGCCACTGACTCACTGTGTGACCATGGGCAAGTCCCTTCCCCTCTCCAGGGTTTGGGGGAAGGGTGGGGCCATGAACCACCCACCCTTCTCAGGTGGTTCCCAGAGGCTGGGACCTATGGCTGGTGGGTATGTGTCAGCCCTGCCCCTGGCTGCAGTGAGGCGGCCCACATAAGAACCCAGGCAGATCATCTGAACTGTTCAAGTGTGTCTCATAAGCTCTATACTGCTGCAGCTAAGGGAGAGTCTCCTTTACTCCAAGTGATCCAGGCCTAGTGGCAGAAGGTGCCTGGTTTTCTCTCCCTGCTGCTGGGCATTAAGCCTGGGTTGGCCAAGGAGGCAGGTCCCATTTGGTGGGGTCACTTTGCCCCAAGATTCTCTGCCTTGAAAGGTGAGGAGAAAGGGGGGACCTGGCCTCACCCTCTTCCCAGCACTGGCTGTGGGGAGTGGGGGGGGCTGTTGACCCATCCAGGAACGGCCCAGGGGGGTGACGTACTGCCAAGCACCGAGTTCCCCACCCTGCAGCACAGCTCCCCCTACTGCCGCACCAGAGAACTGTGATCAGCAGTGACTCAGAGACGAGAGCGCCCCCTGCTGAGCCTCCCAGCCCACTCCCTGCAGCGCTGGCTCAGAGGGGAGCGCACCCCCTACTCCCTGCAGTGAGTGGCTCTGTGGGCTGGTGCGTTCAGCGGACCTGTTCCCCGGTTTGCCGCCTCGTGTGCGGAGGGAGTTGTGCTCCAGGCCTGGCCTGGTGGACACAGTGACCTGGGCTCCGCTGGGTGGGTGAGGCTGTAACATCGCTCAGCGCCCCTGCCCGCTCCCCAGCCTGATACCCCCTGAGCAGGCTGTGGTGAGAGGAGCCCTCTTCCTTGGCCCCTTTGGGCAGCCCCACAGGTGTTACCGGGCACATCCCAGCGTCCCAGCCCGCGGGCCTGTAGAAAGGCCTCTGGGGTGTATGTGTCTACAGTGTGCTCCACTGCCCTCTACTGGATGGAATCAGAACCACTTGACTGTGTGTCCTAGGCCCCGTACCACCTGTGGCTGGTGGCGATTCTCCTTTAGCTCCAGTTGCGGGAGCCTGGTGGCAGGGAGCCTGGGCACCGTTCTGAGTGGTGGCACCGTGACAACCACGACGGCCACTGGCAAGATACAGGGGCCTCCGGCTCTGTTCCGGACGCCCCAGGCCCATCGTTAGCCATCCAGCCTAGCCCTGCCGAGCCCCGGCAGCCCTCCGGGCCAGGAGCGCGGGAAGGGGGAGATAACAAGCCCAATTTCCCTCCTGGAGCCTGGTGAAAAACACTGTGGGGGGCTGAGCGGGGGGGTGAGGGCTTTCTGCCATTGTGCCAAATGGGCTCCAGTCCTGGCAGGCTCCCAGGGCCTCCCGCGTCCCTTTCACTCTCTTTTCTTCTCCCTCCCAGGCTGTGTCTCTTTCAGCACCGGGCTGTCTCCTCCCCCCCCCGCCCCCCTTTCTGCCCCTTCTGCCCCGTATTAAAGAGCTTCTGAGCAGCTGGCTCCAGCTCTGCGCCTGGGAACCCGGGGCGCCTCCCGAGCAGCTGGGTCGGTGCTCGCGTCCCGCGGGGGGTCACGCCTGGCTGGGGAGGGGGAGGGAGCAAGACAAGGACCAAGTCCCTGGAGGCTCCGGGGTGGGGTGGTGGGAGGGAACTGGGCCAGGGAAGAGGGGAGGGAGCAAGACAAGGACCAAGTCCCTGGAGGCTGCAGGGGGGCGGGGGGGGGGAAGAGCCAGAGTCCAGATCCCTTCCCCCGGTCAGTTTCCTTCCCTCCCTCCCCGGGCACCTGCCGCCCCCATCCCTCCCCAGCCCTGATCCGCGGCTCCCCCTCGAGCCCCCGCTCCAGGGACGTCCCCCCGCCAGCCCCCCGCTCCTCCCGGGCGGCTCCCGCGGCATGAAGGCGCTGCAGCCTGCCGGGGCTGCGCGGGTGGCGGCGGCTGCGCTCAGCCGGGCACCCCCGGGGGCCCCGCGCCCCGGCGCCCCGCTGCCGCCCCCGGCTCTCAGCTCCCTCCCCTCCTTGCCTTGCAGAGCCCGGGCGGATCTGGCCAGGATGGCGGAGAACGGGCTGCGGGACAAGGTGCTGAGCCTGGACTCCATGAACCCGTGGGTGAAGCGGGTGGAGTACGCGGTGCGGGGCCCCATCCTGGCCCGCGCGGTGGAGCTGGAGGAGAAGCTGAGGCAGGTAAGGGGCAGAGCCGCCCCCTGGATCGCTCGGCTGGGGCCTCACCCCGTGCCCGCCCCGGCTGTCCAGGCTGGTTGGGTCGCCAGCCCCCCGGGGCAGGGGCCCGCTGTGCTGTTTGTACAGCGCCTGGCACTGTGCGGCCGCCCACTCTCAGGGGGCCCTGGGGCGCTGCCGGAATAGCCACAGTGTTGTTAGTAAGAGTTAGACCCCCTCCGCGGGCAAGGCGGGCATCACCATGGGCAGGTTCTCTCAGCAGTGCCCACTGGGCCCCCTGGCCACCCTGTGCCCCCCAGTGCCTGGACACCTGTCCCCCTGCCCCCCCAGTGCCTGAGCACCCTGCCCCCTGGCCTTCCAGTGCATGGGCACTTTGCCCCATGCCCCAAGTGCCTGAGCCTCCTTCGTGGGCCCTGCATGAGCCCTCCCTGGGTCCGATCCTGAGCAATGCCCCCAGCTCCTCTTGAAGCCCATGGGAAGCATCTCCTGGGCATGGGCCCTGCGTTCCTCTGAGAGCACAGCGCCAGGCTCCTCTGACAGCCGCCCTCCAGTCATCGCGTCCCTGGCACCCAGGAGGGCGCCCAGCTGCTGATTTCTTCACTGCGTGCTGGGAAGCCCAAGGTCTTGAGCAAAGCCCTGGACGTTGCCTGTGAATTAGCTGCACTTAGTGCCCTCAGCCCAGAGCCCTGTGCAGACTCTGTGGGTGCTTTTCCCGGGAGCCCGCCAGCACTGCGGAAACGCAGCCACTTCTGGGGTGGAAAGGGGCAGCGCGCAGCAGGGCCAAGGAGCAGGCCGGGAAGGGAAGACAAACTCCACGTGGAACTGCAGAGGCGCGGGGGCAGGGGGTGGCCGGGTGATACTCCAGGCACCGAGGAGCTGATGGGCAGGAGAGAGACTGCTCACACTGGCAGGCCCTCAGTTCTGGGGCTGGGACATCCTCTCCCAAGGGGATGGAGCGGGAGCCCAGTGCCTGCCACACTGACAGATCCTGCCAGACCCCAGGGACTGCCACACTGGCCGTGCCCTCATCCGGCGCCCTGTCTGGTTTTGCCTGGTCAGGCCACCCCACCAGCTGGAAGGTGAGGCAGGGGCGGGGCCAGTCACCAGGGTTACACTTGCACCTAGGCTTGTACTCTGCACACCTGGGCGCAGGTGTCTCCCTGGCCTGACATGGGTGGCTCATTTACATAACCTGGCTCCAATCCCTGTGTCACTCTTCCCCTCTCCTCCCTCTGTCCCCACGCCAGGACCCAGGGGGAGGCAGGAGGCTCCCAGAGGGAGGTGATCCAGGGCTGGGAGCTCCCATCTCTGGCACTGGCTGGGTCCGGGGGGTAGCTCTGTGCAGGGGGCTCAGCGAGGTGCTGTCCATGCCCGCTAGGGCTGGGCTGCGTCTCACTGTCCTGGTGAACATGCTAGTGGTGGCGATGTGCGTGCAACCACGTGGCTCGGAGGGATCCAGTAAGGGTTAATGGGTGGGCAGGTTACAGCCCAGGCAGGCTCCATGCCGCCTTGCCAGGGATGGCCGCTCACTCACACTGAAGGGCAGGGGGGACGTCCCTCCTGCCCTGACAGCCACTGACAGCCGCAAGCTCTGGGCCCTTCCTGCCCGTTCCTGGCACTGTCTGGTCTGGCAGGTGCAGGCAGGCTCCAGGACAGGGGCTTTGACAGCCTCGCTCACCCTGGCACAGGGCGTCAGACCCGGCAGCAGTGACCATCCTGCCAGCATGGCCTAACACAAGCGGCTGGCCAGGGCCGGGAGCGGCCGACAGCCCAGTCAGGGCGCAGGGGGTGCAGTGGCCCTGGCCAAAGAGAGGCTCCAGGTCTGTGTGTAATCCCTGAGCTGGCTGAGACCTGTAGCTGCAGAAAAACCAACCTGCACACGGAGCCAATCTGTGGGCACTTAGGGCTCCAGGATACCCCGGGGCTGCGTGCATGGGCACCTGCTATAACTCATAAACAGCCGGGTTGGGATTTGAATCCTCTTGTTCCAAAAACCCAGGCCCTGCCACTTGAGCTAGAGGAGAATCTCCTTGAGCTGTGAGCAGTACAGGGCCTATGACACAGAGCTGGGCAGTGCTGAGTCCATGCAGGAGAGGGCAGTGGTGTGTGGGTGTGGTCTCACCAGCCAGGCCTCCCCTCCCCTCCCAACAGGCTGTGGCTGTCCCCTGCCCAGTGACTGCTGCATGCTATGACGTGCCAGGGGGGCAGAGGTTGTGCCCTCTGTGGTTAGCAGTGGGAGCAGGCTGGGTATGCCCCTGGCTGGGAGGGTTCCTCTGGCACCAGCAGGTTATGCTTTCCCAGGCCTCATGGCATGGTGCCACCTTGCCAGCTGCTTTGGCTGCCTCTCCTGCAGCTTGCGGTCAAAGGAGCCTGTCTCGCTGCCAGCCTCTGACCAACCACCACAAGGGATGGCCCAGTCCCCTGCACGGCCCCCATGCCCGCCCTGGATTGCATCCAGCTGGCTTGGCATGTGTCACGTCCCCACCACGTAGCCCACGTCCCCAGGTCCATGCCATTGCTCTGCACACACACGCGGGGTCCCTCGTCCCTGCACGGGCTCTGGGCTCAGTCCCCTGGGGGCCCCAGATGGGGGTGGGGGAGACAGCCTGTCCCATCCCAGCACCTGGGACACAGTGGGGCCCGCTCTCCCTCTCGTCCTGACCCTGGGGGCGCTTGGGCCCTGGGAGGGGCAGCACAGGGCAGAGGGCGTCATGAACGGAGCTGAGAAAGGCCTGCCCTGCCTGGGGTCCTGGGGATGGGCAAGCATCCCTGGGGCGTGGGGCGTGGGTTTGGGACAGGCAGGCCAAGCCCAGAGCCACTCGGCTCCTTGCAGCTCGTGTGCCCTGCCAGGGCCGGGCGCTGCCCTGGTTCTTGGCCCCTGATGGCCAACCGGGGCAGCGCAGGGCATTCCCGTGCCGGGCTGACTGTGTGTATCCCTTGTGCAATGCCTGGCGCTGGGGGTTTACCCGCACAGGTCAGGGCAGGCATGTGGCGAGGGGCAAAGTCCCTGGGGGCGGGGTGGGGGCACTTTCCCCAGCTGATCCTGGAGCCAAGTGCAGTGTCCCAGGCTCAGGATGACGCAGGAATTCTTGCTTCCGAGACGCGTCATCCCGAGGGCAGTGACCTCCCTGCCTGCGTGGGTGCTCCAGGCTGGGCATGCAGCCAGGCCTGGGACGCCCCGGCCCCGCCCACAGGAGGCGCTGTGGGGAGCGGGGGCAGGAGTGCCAGTGCAGGAGCCTGGCTGGCAGGGACCCAGCAGCTCTGCTCCGGCCTGGCACTGTGGGGAGGGCGCGACGGCTGCGGGGCAAGTCGAGGGCTGCAAGGCAGGTGCGGCAGGAATCCGCCAGCCGGGAGCCTCAATCAGAGCCCCTCACTGCGGAGCTGCACTGGGCAGCGGGACGTGCTCGCCCCCCACAACCACAGCCCACTTAGGGACACCAAGGCCCCAGGGTGGCGCTAGGGGGCGCTGTGCTGCACGGCGGGGGCATCAGTAGGGGGCGCTCTTCCCTCCGGATGCAGGCCCCGGGGTGGCGCTAGGGGTGCTGTGCTGCACGGCAGGGGGCGCTCTCCCCGCTGGATGCAGGCTGGGTATCATAGCTGGGGGACAGGGGCAGCTTTCCCGGGGTTGGCTCCGTTCTCCCTCCTCCCTCTCTGCTCCCACAGGGTGAGAAGAAGCCTTTCACAGAGGTGATTAAAGCCAACATTGGCGATGCCCATGCCATGGGCCAGCGCCCCATCACCTTCCTGCGCCAGGTACAGCAGGGCTCTGCCACTGCCGGGAGCGGGAAATGTGGGGGGGAAAGGGGGCGACCCCCCCTCCGATCTGAGTTTGGGGAACAGGCCTTGGGCTGGGCCCCTGCCGCTCTGCGGGTGGGGGTGGGGGTGGGGAGGGAGCTGGAAAGAGCCTGTGCCGAGTTTGGGGGTGGGCTATAAAACCCAGCCAGTGTGGCTAGTACCCCTCTGCCTTTGTGCAGGGGACACTGAGGCACAGGAAGGGCAGGGTTGTGTCTGAGATGGCTCATGGCACCAGTTGTGGAGCCAGCAATAAAAGCCAGGAGTTCTGGCACCCAGCCCCTCCCCTGCCCCTGGCTCTAACTACTGGCCAGAACTGCTGGGCCATTAGACCAGAGCAAGGGGGCACAGGACCCAGACAGTGGGGATGAAAGGGCTCAGGAGCCTGTGGAATTCACTGCTGCAGGAGCTTGGTAACTCCAGGCATGGGCTAGACGCTGACAGCCCTGAACTGAGACGCTGCCAAGTCAGGACTCGAGGCTCCTCCCTGCAGCCCCATCACACGGAGCTGGGGGCCCTGCTGGTCCCCAAGTTCCCTGTCAGCCAGGCTGCTAGGCAGGGAGGGCTCCTGGGGTGGGGGCAGCTGCGTGGCTGTGGGGTGGAACATGGAGCAGTCTTGAGGCTTTGTGCCCTGCAGGTCAGCGCCTTGTGCCTGTACCCCGAGCTGCTGAGCAAACCCCTCTTCCCTGACGATGCCAAGCAGAGGGCACGCAGACTGCTCGCAGCATGCGGAGGGCAGAGCATCGGTGAGTACCCCCCCCGGGAACTCAGCCTGCTGCCCATTGCCCCCCCCCCAGGAACCCAGCCTGCCACCCCCCCAGGAACTCAGACTGCTGCCCCCACCCCAGGAACCCAGCCTGCTGCCCGTTGCCCCCCTCGGGAACCCAGCCTGCTGCCCCCCGCCCCCCCAGGAACTCAGACTACTGCCTGCTGCCCCCTGGGAACTCAGCCTCCTGCCCACTCTGCCCCAGTCCAGTGTGCTGCCCAGCCCAGCTTGCAGCCCCCTCCCCAATATGCTGCCCACCCCCTCAGGCCCAGGGCGCTTCCAGGCCCCCACCCAGCCACAGCAGAGTCACACGTGACCCATACGAGACCTGCAGGGGCACGTCCAGAGCCACATGGGACATCTGCTTGGCTAAGGGCCCAGGCCCAGCTGCTCTGGGCGCACAGTGCCCACAGGCGAGGGCTGGCACGGCCTGGTAGCCTTGCTGGTACCCTTGAGGGCGCCACATACAGAAGAGCAGGACCCTGGAATGTGTTAAAATCTCTGTGTAATCTACTGGGTGGCTTCTGGGGGAGATGAGTTTGGGGGGCTCCGGCTGATACCCCAAATCCCCTGTCCCCGAGAGGGGTCCCTCCGGGGCGGCCAGGTGTCCCAGAGACGCTGTCCCTGTTCCCTGCATGGCTGACAGCATCTCTCCAACCGGGAGCACTAACCCCCGTGATGTAGCCCCCCCCCAGCCGGGCCCCAAGGGCAGCACCCCCTGGAGCCTCCTCTGCTCACCAGCACCCCCCAGCGTCTGCTACCCCAGGCCCTAGCTTGGGTCTCTCCCCCGCCAGGTGCCTACACTGCCAGCCCTGGCATCGAGATCATCCGCCAGGACGTGGCACGGTACATCGAGAGGCGGGACGGGGGCATCCCCGCCAACCCGGACAACATCTTCCTGTCGACCGGTGCCAGTGATGCCGTCATGGTAGGGTGTCCCATCCCCCCCAGCAATGGGCACACGCGGGGGGCTGCAGGCTGGGACTGAGGGGTATCGATAGAGCTGGGTTGGGGGGGAGTCCAGGAATGTGGGTCGGGAGTGAGGGGCACCAGCAGAGCTGGCGGGGGGGGGGGGAAGCGCCAGGCTGGGCTAGCAGGGAGCCGCGGGTCGGGAGTGGGGGGCACCGGCAGAGCTTGGGGGAGGTCTCTGCTCCCCCTGGGATCTTTACTCTCTCCCGTTCCTGAGCTCTCGGTGCCCCCGTGCCCGGGGAAGAGTTGGTCTCTCGCTCTGCTGCCTGGTTGCTGATGCCCCTGGAGCTCCCAGGACCCCTCCCCCCGAGCCCCTCCCGCCCCGCTCTGGGCCCTGGGCCACCCCTGTTGGCTTTACCCTCAGGGCAGCGCCCAGGGGGCTGGGACCCAGCTCTTACGCCAGCGTTGCCTGGGTGCTTGGGCAGCCTCACAAAGGGCCCTTTGTGCCATGCTGGGCACAGCCCTGGCAGACTGGCAGCCACAGGCCTGCTGGGAACTCACAGGCTGGGATAGTGGGGTGGGGGGAGGGATGACAGAGGGGGGCAAGAGGGGTATGGGGAGGCTGCCTCCAGGTAACCTCTGCGAGGAGCAATGGGGGGCAGGCATCTGACCCAGCCCTGCACCCCTGTCCCTGGGGGTGGGGGGTGCTCCAGGGCCGTGTGAAGTGGTCCAGTGGGCACTGCCCAGAGCATCAGTGGCCCTTTGGTCCCAGCCCCCAGGGCCCTGCTGCTCCTCGGGGGGAGCCCTGACCCAGACCCATTGCCACATCCTCGTGCCCCTCTGCCCCCCGCCCTGCGGCCCCGGTGGACCCCTGGCCCCTGCCCGCCCTGAGCTGCCCCTGCCCATCCCTCCCTCTCTCCCCAGACCATGCTGAAGCTGCTGGTGTCGGGGGAGGGCCGGTCGCGGACGGGCGTGATGATCCCCATCCCCCAGTACCCGCTGTACTCAGCTGGCATCGCCGAGCTCAACGCCGTGCAGATCAACTACTATCTGGATGAGGAGCACTGCTGGGCGCTGGACGTCGGGGAGCTGCGGCGGGCCCTGAGCCAGGCCCGCGATCACTGCCAGCCCCGGGTGCTGTGCATCATCAACCCTGGGAACCCCACGGGTACCGCCGGGCGGGCAGGGAGGGGAATGGGACAGGGGCCTTTCTTCCCCAGGGGGCGCCGGCTCTGATCCAGCTGCAGGGCAGGGACTGCCAGGCTCCGTGGGGCCCGGGGGATCTCCAGAGGTGCCCAGCCAGCACCTGTCACCAGCCCTTCACTCGTTAACTGGCTCTTTTAACAAAGCTCCAGCTTCCCCCTCACCAGCCAGGGGGCTGGGTACTGAGAGGTCAGCGCAGGGGGGCCAGGTCCGGGTAGCAGCTGAGCCCCGCAGCCAGGGTCAAGCAGAGGCAGGGTGGACTAGGGGTTACAGCTGGGCACGGGAAGCCAGGACTCCTGGGTTCTATCCCAGCACTGCCAGACTCCGTATGACCTTGGGCCCGTCTCATCCTCCCCCTGCCCCCACGCGTCAGTTCCTGGCTGTAACACGGGGGCGACCCTGAGCCACCTGCCAAGGGCCCGTGCTGGGAATTAGTGCTTGTGAAGGGCTTTGAGATCCTCAGGTGGGCAGAGGAAAGGGGCAAGGTGACCCAGTGTCTGGGGCCCTGGCACCATGACTTGGGTGCCATCCAGGCAGAGTGAGGGGCAATGGAGCGAACAGTCCAGCCCAGTGCTGTGCCTGCCTCCTGGCCTGTGCCCCCAGTGCTGAGGGGGACGGTGTGGGGGGCAGCAGGTCTATGGGGCCCTGTATAGAGCTGTCCCCCAGTGCCAGGGTGGGTGAGGGAGGCCTAGGGGGCAGGAGATCGAGGCTGCTGTGGGGCTCTGTGTGGAGCTGTCCCCCAGTGCCAGGGTGGGTGAGGGCAGCGTGGGAGGGCAGGAGGTGCTGGCTGGTGCGGGGCCTCCATGTCCCCCCTGATGGGCTTGTCCTGTGCCCACAGGCCAGGTCCAGAGCCGGAAATGCATTGAGGATGTCATCAAATTTGCGTGGGAGGAGCAGCTCTTCCTGATGGCCGACGAGGTGAGGGCAAGAGCTGGCTCCTAGCCCCGACTGCCCCACGGCCAGGCTCCCTGTCCTGGGGTGCGGTTATCTCGGGGGCGGGGGCGAGTGTCTCTTTTGGGGAGCCAGCCCGGTGCCCCCCCACCAGAGGGGCGGGCAGAGCTCCGGGACTGCCCATGCCCAGAGGAGTGGGCTGGGCTGTAGGGTCCCGTGGCCAGGTGGGTGTTGGCCCTGGCGTGGCCTGTAGGGTTGGCCATATTCCTGGAGGTTTCATGATCACACAACGTCATCTTAATTAAAGATTCATCTTTGACTCCTGGAGACACCAGGACAATCCTGGAGGGTTGGCACCCCTAGGCCTGCCTGTGGGACCGGCGGGTGCCCTGACCCCCCTCTTCCCCCCCACAGGTCTATCAGGACAACGTCTATGCCGAGGGCTCCGAGTTCCACTCCTTCAAGAAGGTCCTTTTCGAGCTGGGCCCCACGTACTCGAGTGTGGTGGAGCTGGCCTCCTTCCACTCCATCTCCAAGGGCTTCATGGGAGAGTGAGTGGCCCCTGCCCGCCCCTGGGCTGCCCCACGCCCCGAGGGCAGCCTGCCCAGTGCCCGGGGCTTGGGGCAAAGCACGGCTGGCGGGAGCAGGGAGCGGGCAGCCCACCGAGTCAGCTGCTCAGGCCCTGCCCGGGACCCCCCGTCCACCCTTCGGGGCGGTTCTGACCCGGAGCTGAGCCCAGCCGAGCTGCTCACAGACCTGTACACGCAGCCCAACACCCCCCACGGCTTGTGTGTCACGGAAGCATGATATGCCGGGCGGCACCGAGCCGTGCCCCTTTGCCCTGGGGTCCCAGAGACCTCGCCCCGCAGGGGGCACCCCCAAGGGGCAGGAGGGACACAGCCCCCAGGGCATTGAGGGGCGAGGTAGGGACTCATGGGGTGCCTGTGGGGGGAGTAACAAGTGATCCCTCCCAGTAGTGGGAAGCCAGGCCCCAAACCCCAGGGGTCCCAGAGGGATGGAGGACAGGCCCTGTCAAGGTTCCTCCCCCACTCTGAACTCTAGGGTACAGATGTGGGGACCTGCATGAAAAAACCCCCTAAGCTTATCTTTACCAGCTTAGGTCAAAACTTCCCCAAGGTACAAAATATTACACCCGTTATCCTTGGAATGGCCGCTACCACCACCAAACTAATACTGGTTACTGGGGAAGAGCTGTTTGGACGCGTCTTTCCCCCAAAATACTACCCAAAACCTTGCACCCCACTTCCTAGACAAGGTTTAGTAAAAAGCCTCACCAATTTGCCTAGGTGACTACAGACCCAGACCCTTGGATCTTAAGAACAATGAACAATCCTCCCAACACTTGCACCCCCCCTTTCCTGGGAAATGTTGGATAAAAAGCCTCACCAATTTGCATAGGTGACCACAGACCCAAACCCTTGGATCTGAGAACAATGAAAAAGCATTCAGTTTTTACAAGAAGACTTTTAATAAAAAATAGAAGTAAATAGAAATAAAGAAATCCCCCTGTAAAATCAGGATGGTAGATATCTTACAGGGTAATTAGATTCAAAAACATAGAGAACCCCTCTAGGCAAACCCTTAAGTTACAAAAAAGATGCACAGACAGAAATAGTTATTCTATTCAGCACAATGCTTTTCTCAGCCATTTAAAGGAATCATAATCTAACACATACCTAGCTAGATTACTTACTAAAAGTTCTAAGACTCCATTCCTGTTCTGTCTCTGGCAAGACCAGCATACAGACAGACACAAAACCTTTGTTTGTCTCCCTCCTCCCAGCTTTTGAAAGTATCTTGTCTCCTCATTGGTCATTTTGGTCAGGTGCCAGCGAGGTTACCTTTAGCTTCTTAACCCTTTACAGGTGAGAGGAGCTTTCCCCTGGCCAGGAGGGATTTCAAAGGGGTTTACCCTTCCCTTTATATTTATGACACGCCCCCCAAATCTCAGCTAGGGTGAAACACTGGCTGGGATTTCTTCCTGGAGCTCTAGGAAAAACAGAGTTAATAAGACACATGCATCTCTAAATATACTACCAAGTACATAAAGACTAACAATATTTTCCACATCTCAAGGACGATTTTAACCAGTTGACTCTGGGAAACTTTCACGGGAGAGTGCATCAGCCACTTTGTTAGAAGCTCCTGAGATGTGTTGGATGTCGAAATCAAAATCTTGGAGAGCTAAACTCCACCGAAGAAGTTTTTTGTTAGTTTCTTTGACGGTGTGAAGCCACTTCAGTGCAGCATGGTCGGTTTGCAGGTGGAAACGCCGTCCCCAAACATAGGGCGTAGCTTTTCCAGAGCGTAGACAATGGCGTAACATTCTTTTTCAGTGACTGACCAGTTGCTTTCCCTCTCAGACAGTTTTTTGCTGAGAAACACTACAGGGTGGAATTCTTGATCAGGTCCTTTCTGCATTAAAACTGCTCCCACACCACGCTCGGATGCATCTGTGGTTACTAGGAACGGTTTGTCAAAGTCTGGGGCCCTTAGTACAGGGTCAGACATGAGTGTCGCTTTAAGCTTGTTAAAGGCCTTCTGACACTTTCCGGTCCACTGAACAGCATTTGGCTGTTTCTTTTTGGTTAGGTCTGTCAGTGGGGCAGCGATTTGGCTGTAGTGCGGTACAAATCGTCTGTAATAACCGGCCAAGCCTAAGAAGGATTGAACCTGTTTCTTTGACTTTGGGACAGGCCACTTTTGGATAGCATCCACTTTGGCCTGTAGGGGGCTGATAGTTCCTTGACCCACCTGGTGTCCAAGGTAAGTCACTCTGTTTAGGCCTATTTGACACTTCTTAGCCTTAACAGTTAATCCTGCCTCCCTTATGCGCTCAAGGACTTTTTTGTAGATGTTCCAGGTGGTCTGCCCAGGAATCCGAAAATATGGCCACATCGTCAAGGTAGGCGACTGCATATTCTCCTAATCCCGCTAGGAGACCATCTACAAGTCTTTGGAAAGTGGCGGGTGCATTTCGCAGCCCGAAAGGGAGTACATTAAATTCATACAGCCCGAGATGTGTGATGAAGGCTGACCTTTCCTTGGCAGATTCATCTAGCGGTACCTGCCAGTACCCCTTGGTTAAGTCCAAGGTAGAGATGAACTGGGCCCGTCCCAGTTTCTCTAATAGTTCATCTGTGCGTGGCATTGGATAGTTGTCTGGGCGAGTTACAGCATTTAGCTTACGGTAGTCCACGCAAAAACGTATTTCCCCATCTGGTTTGGGAACTAGAACCACTGGAGATGCCCATGCACTTTCAGAGGCGGATTACCCCCATCTGTAACATATCCTGGATCTCCCGTTCTATAGCAGTTTTAGCTTGAGGAGACACCCGGTAAGGTTGGACCCTAATTGGGTGAGCATTACCTGTGTCAATGGAGTGGTATGCCCGTTCAGTCAGTCCTGGGGTGGCTGAGAACGTTGGCGCGTAGCTAGTGCACAGCTCCTGGATCTGCTGTCGCTGCATACGCCCAAGGGTCATGGAGAGGTTCACCTCTTCCACACCACCACCACATTTCCCTTCGTAGTAGACACCTTTGGGCCACTCAGCGCGTCTCTTCCGTGGGCTGTAAACTGACAAACCTTTAATTCTCTGGAATAAAAAGGGCTTTAGAGAATTAATATGGTACACCTTAGGCTTTCGGTTGGAGGTGGGGAATGCTATGAGATAATTAACAGCTCCCAGGCGCTCCTGGACCATGAATGGCCCTTCCCACGATGCTTCCATTTTATGGGCCTGAGCGCCTTTAAGACCATGACCTGGTCTCCTACTTTGAAGGAACGCTCTCTGGCATGCTTATCATACCAGGCTTTTTGCTCTTTTTGAGCATCCTGTAAGTTTTCTCTAGCAAGGGCTAAAGAGGTTCGGAGGGTGTTTTGTAGGTTGGTTACAAAGTCCAGAATGTTAGTTCCTGGAGAAGGTGTAAATCCCTCCCATTGCTGCTTCACCAACTGCAATGGCCCCTTAACCTCACGGCCATATACAAGTTCAAATGGGGAAAACCCTAAACTGGGGTGTGGTACAGCTCTGTAGGCAAAGAGCAACTGCTGCAACACTAGGTCCCAATCATTGGAGTGCTCATTTACGAATTTACGTATCATGGCCCCCAAAGTTCCATTAAACTTCTCCACCATGCCATTTGTTTGATGATGGTAAGGAGTGGCAACCAAGTGATTTACCCCATGGGCTTCCCAAAGGTTTTTCATAGTTCCTGACAGGAAATTAGTCCCTGCATCGGTGAGGATGTCGGAGGGCCAACCTACCCTGGCAAAAATGTCTGCTAGTGCCTGGCACACACTTTTAGCCCTGGTGTTGCTTAGAGCTACTGCTTCCGGCCATCGGGTGGCAAAATCCATGAAAGTCAGTATGTACTGCTTTCCTCTGGGTGTCTTTTTCGGAAAAGGACCCAGAATATCCACAGCTACTCGCTGAAATGGAACTTCAATGATGGGGAGTGGCTGTAGAGGGGCTTTGACCTGGTCTTGGGGTTTTCCCACTCTTTGGCACACCTCACAAGACTGGACATAGGTAGAAACATCCTTGCCCATTCCCTCCCAGTGGAATGACCCCCCCAAACGGTCTTTGGTCCTGTTCACCCCAGCATGGCCACTAGGGTGATCATGGGCTAGCTCAAGAGCTTGGCCCGGTATTTAGTTGGAACTACCAACTGTCTCTGAGGATGCCAGTCTTCCTGGTGTCCACCAGAAAGAGTTTCCTTGTATAAAAGTCCTCTTTCTACAACAAACCTGGATCGATTAGAAGAGCTGAGAGGCGGTGGGTTGCTCCGTGCCGCCGTCCAAGCTCTCTGGAGGCTTTCATCTGCTTCCTGTTCGGTCTGGAACTGTTCCCTTGATGCTGGAGACATCAGTTCCTCATGGGATTGTGGACCTAGGCTTGGTCCCTCTGGAAGTGATATAGGGGATGGAGCTGTTTCTGTTGACTGTGAACCGCTCTCCGCTGGTGCACTATGTTGGGATTCAGGCTCCGGCTGAGCCTCTTGGGTCGGGTTATCGGCTGCTGCCAGTTCAGGTTCGGTGGGGCCCTCTGGTGTTGAGGTTGCAAGTACTGGATTCAGTGCTGACACGGGGTCTGGTGTTGGTTGTTCGGCTGGTTCCGGTTCTGGGACTGGTTCCGTCTGGGTCTCTGGGACTGGATCCACTACTGCTGTTGCAGACATTGGCCTGGGGTCCAGGTCCATCACCTCTGACTGGGTCCTGATAGAAGTTTCCGGAACAGAGCTAGGCCTCACGGCTTGTTTAGCCTGGCTGCGGGTGACCATTCCCACCCTCTTGGCCTGCTTCACATGATTGGCCAAGTCTTCCCCCAACAGCATGGGGATGGGATAATCATCATAGACTGCAAAGTCCACATTCCTGACCAGCCCTTGTACTGGACAGGCAACTTGGCTGTAGGCAAATTGAAAGAGTTGGACTTGAAGGGTTGAATCGTCACTTGGATCTCTGGGTTGATTAAATTGGGGTCCACTAAGGAAGCATGGATAGCTGACACTTGTGCTCCGGTGTCCCTCCACGCGGTGACCTTCTTCCCGCCCACACTCACAGTTTCCCTCCGCTCCAAGGGTATCTGGGAGGTATCTGGGCCTGTGGACCTCTGGTGTGATTCCGGTGCAATGAACTGTAATCTGTTGGGGTTCTTGGGGCAGTTGGCCTTTACATGCCCCAGCTCGTTACATTTAAAACATCGTCCAGCTGACGGGTCACTGGGGCGAGGAGGGTTGCTGGAGAACGGGGTGGTGGGACGATAAGGGGTCTGGAGGGTTCTTTGGGAGGTAGGTGGGGCTTTGGGCGGCCCCCGGTAATAGGGTGTGGTCTGGGGTGGTCCCTTCTGGTCTCCACTCCAACTGCGACCAGTTTTCTTCTTCTCTGCCACCTCCACCCATCTGGCTCCAATCTCTCCTGCCTCGATTACAGTTTTGGGCTTCCCGTCTAGGATGTATCTTTCTATTTCCTCAGGAACACCCTCTAAGAATTGTTCCATTTGCATTAGGAAGGGCAAATTTACTGGAGATTCAACACTTGCTCCTGATATCCAGGCATCCCAATGTTTCACAATGTGGTAGGCATGTCGGGTAAATGACATGTCTGGTTTCCACCTTAGGGCTCGGAACCTCCGACGAGACTGCTCGGGTGTTATCCCCATTCTGACTCTCGCCTTGGATTTAAACAGTTCATACTTGTTCATGTGTTCTTTAGGCATTTCAGCTGCCACCTCAGCTAAGGGTCCACTGAGCTGCGGCCTCAGCTCTACCATGTATTGGTCAGTAGAGATGTTGTACCCAAGGCAGGCCCTTTCGAGTTTTCTAAGAAGGCCTCAGTATCATCACCTGCCTTGTAGGTGGGGAACTTTCTGGGATGGGAAGTGGTACCTGGAGAAGGATTGCTAGGGTTTGTTGGTATATTCTGCTGGGCCTTTATCCTCTCCACCTCCTCCACATGCTTCCTCTCTTTTTCCTTCTCCTCCTCCACATGCTTCCTTGCCTCCATTTCCCTCTTGTGGGCAGCCTCCTGTACCTCCTTCTCCAGCCGCATGAGTTCTATCTGTCTTTCATGTTCCCTTTGTCTTTCCTCAGCCTGAAATTTGGCTAATTCCAGCTGTAGTCGAGCTGAGGATTTGGTCATTCTAACCTCTCTGTTTTTAACTAACTTTACACCTGAGGTTTAGAAATAAACAAACAAAACTTGGCTGTAAAATTTTGCTGTGCTGCAATAGAATACCTATTCTCTGATAGTGATTGTCAGCCTACAGAAAAAGACAATTCCCTTGTCTCTGCTCTGGGCCCAAATTAAAGCAAAAACCTCCAACTGCTTGGAAACCTGCTTACCCAGCCCAAAGAAAAAGCAAATGGGTAGAACACACACCCCCTATTTACTTTTAGGAAGGAAAGAAAAAAAAACACCTCTGGGTTGGAAGACTGTGAAGTTCCCTGCAGGAGTTAAGTACCCTGCCTCCAGGCAAAGAAAACCTGCAATTCACAAGATAATCCCCTTTTGTCTCTGCTTGGCCACAAAGCAGAGAGAAACCAAGCTGCTTTCAGTTTCAAAGCTGCTTTCTGGACTTTCTTTCCAAAGAAAAAAAAATTTCCTTTTAAAATCTGTATTTCTAGTTCAAAAAATCTCAACTGGATCTCAGATGATTTCAGGTTAATCCCACCACTGTGCCACCATGTCAAGTTCCTCCCCCACTCTGAACTCTAGGGTACAGATGTGGGGACCTGCATGAAAAAACCCCTAAGCTTATCTTTACCAGCTTAGGTCAAAACTTCCCCAAGGTACAAAATATTACACCCGTTATCCTTGGAATGGCCGCTACCACCACCAAACTAATACTGGTTACTGGGGAAGAGCTGTTTGGACGCGTCTTTCCCCCCAAAATACTTCCCAAAACCTTGCACCCCACTTCCTGGACAAGGTTTGGTAAAAAGCCTCACCAATTTGCCTAGGTGACTACAGACCCAGACCCTTGGATCTGAGAACAATGAAAAAGCATTCAGTTTTTACAAGAAGACTTTTAATAAAAAATAGAAGTAAATAGAAATAAAGAAATCCCCCCTGTAAAATCAGGATGGTAGATATCTTACAGGGTAATTAGATTCAAAAACATAGAGAACCCCTCTAGGCAAACCCTTAAGTTACAAAAAAGATACACAGACAGAAATAGTTATTCTATTCAGCACAATGCTTTTCTCAGCCATTTAAAGGAATCATAATCTAACACATACCTAGCTAGATTACTTACTAAAAGTTCTAAGACTCCATTCCTGTTCTGTCCCTGGCAAGAGCAGCACACAGACAGACCCAGACCCTTTGTTTGTCTCCCTCCTCCCAGCTTTTGAAAGTATCTTGTCTCCTCATTGGTCATTTTGGTCAGGTGCCAGCGAGGTTACCTTTAGCTTCTTAACCCTTTACAGGTGAGAGGAGCTTTCCCCTGGCCAGGAGGGATTTCAAAGGGGTTTACCCTTCCCTTTATATTTATGACAGGCCCTGACCCCAAGAGTCTCAGAGGGAGGGAGAGCCAGGCCCTACTCCGCAAGGGTCCCAGAGGGACGGGATAGCCAGGCCCTGCACCCCAGGGGTTCCAGAGGGAGGGGGGAGCCAGGCCCTGCACCCCAGGGGTTCCAGAGGGAGGGGGGAGCCAGGCCCTGCACCCCAGGGGTCCCAGAGGGAGGGGAGCCAGGCCCTGCACCCCAGGGGTCCCAGAGGGAGGGGAGCCAGGCCCCATGTCTCGCCCTCTCGTCCCCCAGGTGCGGGTTCCGCAGCGGGTACATGGAGGTGGTGAACCTGGATCCGGCTGTGCAGCAGCAGCTCTCCAAGCTGGTGTCGGTGCGGCTGTGCCCGCCCGTGCCCGGCCAGGTGCTGCTGGACGTTGTCATGAACCCACCGAAGCCTGGCGAGCCCTCGTACCAGAGCTTCATCCAGGTAAGTGCGGGGGGCTCGCAGCCAAGGCCCTGATCCCGGCCACCAGCCCCAGCCCCTCCCTGAGGGGCACCCCCCACCAACCCCATGGGCATCTTACCCCATAGCCACCAGCTGCCCCCTGCACCAGCCCCAGGGAAGGCCCCATCCCCCCCTCCACCACCCCCATGGGCCTCTCACCCTGACCCCCAGGCCCTGCTATACCCAAGTGCCTGTCCCCACTTCCTCCTGCCTGCAGCCCCTCCCTTCTCCCCCACGGCAGCCCCCTGCCACTCAGCGCTGTGGGTCTCTCTCTCGGCTCCCAGGAGAAGCAGGCAGTGCTGAGCGACCTGGCCCACAAAGCGCAGCTGACCCAGGAGATCTTCAGCCAGGTGCCCGGGATCCGCTGTAACCCCGTGCAGGGCGCCATGTACTCCTTCCCCAGGATCCAGATCCCAGCCAGGGCGGTTCAGGAGGCCCAGGTGAGAGCTGGGCACGGAGCAGCCTGGTGGGCGGGGGTGGGGGAGCAGGGCCTAGGGTTGCCAGGTGTCCGATTTTCGACCAAGGGACCCTGGTGGCTCCGGTCAGCACCGCTGTGTGGGCTGTTAAAAGTCCAGTCGGCAGCGCAGCGCGGCTACGGCAGCTCCCTGCCTGCCCCGGCTCCACGCGGCCCCGGAAGCAGCGGCCTGTTCCCCCTCCGGCTCCTAGGCGCAGGGGCGGCCAGGGGGCTCCAGGTGCTGCCCCCTCCCCACGCGCAGTTCCCAGCCATGGGAGCTGCGGGGGCAGCGCCGGCAGATGGGGCATCGCGCGGCAGGTGCCGGAGAGGGGACGTGCTGCTTCCGTGAGCTGCCTCGGGTAAGTGCCACCCGGGGCCCGCGCCCCTCACCCCCTCCCACGCACCAACTCCCTGCCCCAGCCCTGACCCCCGCCCACCTTCCAAACCCCCCAGCCAGAGCCTGCACCCCCTCCTCCACCCCAAACCCCTGCCTCAGCCCGGAGCCCCCTCCCACACTCCGAACCCCTCGGCTCCACCCTCCAGCCTGGAGCCCCCTCCTGCTCTCCAAACGGCTCATCCCCAGCACCACCCCAGAGCCTGCACCCCCCAGACGGAGTCCTCTCCCCCTCCCGCATCCCAACCCACTGACTCAGCCCGGAGCCCCCCTCCCATACTCCGAACCCCTCGGCTCCACCCCCCAGCCTGGAGCCCCCTCCTGCTCTCCAAACCCCTCATCCCTAGCCCCACCCCAGAGCCTGCACCCCCCAGACGGAGTCCTCTCCCCCTCCCGCATCCCAACCCACTGACTCAGCCCGGAGCCCCCTCCCACACCCTGAACTCCTCATTTCTGGCCCCACCCCAGAGCCCGCACCCCTTCCCACATCCCAACCCCCTGAGCCAGCCCAATGAAAATGAGTGAGCGAGTGAGGGTGGGGAGGGTGAGCGACCCGGAGGGGGAGGGGGGAATATGGAGTGAACAGGGGCGGGACCTCGGGGAAGGGGCGTGGCAGGGGCGTGGCCTCGGAGGAGGGAGGGGGCTTAGGGTGTTCAGTTTTGTGTGAGTAGAAAGTTGGCAACCCTCACAGGGCCAGGGGAGAGCCGGGCACGGAGCAGCCTCGGGGATGGGGTTGGGGGAGCAGGTCCGGGGAGAGCCGAGCACGGAGCAGGCATCTCTGCTCCCCTCCCATCTCCCCTAAGCCCAGCCCTTGCTCCTCCCCAGGCCCGGGGCTTTGCCCCAGACATGTTCTTCTGCCTCCAGCTGCTGGAGGAGACGGGCATCTGCGTGGTGCCAGGGAGCGGCTTTGGGCAGCGAGAGGGCACCTATCACTTCAGGTAAGGGCCCCCCTGGCCACGCTCCGCACCCGGATCCCCTGGGAAGGGCTGGCAATGTGGAGCTGGGAGAGACCCGGCAGTCTGCACCCCCGCCCGAATCCTGACACCCACCCCCTCCGCCCGACTCCCACAGCTGCTCACACCCCCAGTCCTACCTGCCATCCTCCTGCCCCTCAATCCTGACCCACAGCCCTGCCCCCTCGGGAGGTCTCTGACTCCCGCTTTCTCTTGTGCCCGCTTGCGCCCAGCTGTGCAGGGTGATGGGGGGTGTTAATGGGAGCGGGCGGGGGGTGGCAGGATGGGCTCAGCCAGGTGCCCGGGGCTGAGGGGATCTCTCTGCCCACAGAATGACCATCCTGCCGCCTGCGGAGAAGCTCCAGATCCTGCTGAAGAAACTCAGCCAGTTCTATGCCAAGTTCACCCGGGAATATTCCTAAGGTGCTGCCCGGGGCAACCGCCCGCTCTGCCCTGCCTGTCCATCCAGCGCCCGCCGGGGGCTGGGGCAGCTTCTCCCTCTGGCCGTGGGACTGGCCCTCCCCGCCCCCGTGGCCCAGCTGGCTGAATTCCACTAGCCCCGTGCAGCCTGCTGGGCACTGCTGGATGCGGTGCCCTGGCATCTGGGCAGGCCCTGGCATCGCCAGTCAGTGGGACCTGCGGCTGGGCTCCGGCAGCACCCTCTGTGGTGCACCCCTATGCTCCCTCTCACGCACGTCCCCTGGCCAGGCTGTATCAACAGCACTGCTCCTGCCCCCTGGTCGGTGCCAAGCCCCAGGTGCCCACCAGCTCCTCCCCACCCACATAGTGCCTTGAGCCATCTCGTCCTGAAGTGCCTTGTTCCCCCACCTCCTCTGCTGGCCCCCGTGCCCGGCGAGGGGGCAGCCCCGTGGCTCTGTCTGCCCCACAGGCCAGGCCAGCAGGGCTCCCTGCGCCACTCCCCTCCCCGGGCTACAGTGGGTCAGACAGAGCCACCCAGGGACCCAGGCTGGGCACACGGTGCCTGCCCAGGTGGAGAGCTGCCTGCCGGGGGCATGGACAGCTGCAGCCCACGGAGGGACGTGCCCAGCCCAGGAGGGTCTAAGTGTCCCTGTTTGAGCCTGCGGGGCTTTGCTCACCCCCGCCCAGCTCGTCCCCAGGGCCTCCCTGCGCCCGGGTCCTGGGCAGAGACGCGGCCGGGGGCTGCGCGAGGGCCTGGCCTGGAGCCCCCAGAGCAGCAATAAACAGTTAATGACTGAACAAGGGCTGCCATGCTGTGTCTGGGTGTGGGGCTGGCCAGGGTGGGCGCAGTGATGCTGGGGAGCTCGCCAGCTTTCACCCCTGTTTTGTGCTCAGTGTAGCTGGGCCCTGGAGCCACAGGGCCGGGCTGCAGGGAACAGGCGGGACTCAGCATCCCATGGAGAGCGAGCCGGGTCCCCTGGTTCTCCCGTGGGGAGGTGGCCACAGCTGGGGGCAGGGGAGACATCCCATGGGGCAGAGGACAGGAGCTCGAGAAAGGAGGAGGCCGGGGAGGGAGGTGCGTCCCTGGGGATGGAGTCAGCTCTCTGCCCCACTTAGTGCCATAGTTGATACAGGGGCAGGACATGGGGGCGGGGGTTAAGCTCAGGGGTCAGCCCCCGGTCATGTGTCCTGTCCCCCGCACCTGTCCCACTCAAGACTGGCGCCTGCAGGATGCCCCGCCGGACTCCCAACAGCAGCGAGAGCGCGGGAGGGCACCGTCCCTGGGGTGAGCACAGCGCCGGCGTCCCCTCTGTGATGAGCTGCAGAACGGCCACTGTACACCTGGGCTCGGAGACATGACGGCGCCACGCGGCCTGTGGTACCCTGTGCCCCCTGCCACTGCCCAGGCCTCGCCCCTCTGCCTCTGCATGCCGGGCCTGCCTGCCGCCTGGGCCACTAACAGCTGCTGCTGCCCTGCCGGGGGGTCAGCACCCACCAGAGCCAGCCGGGGAGTCGCTGCAGCTTGGCTGGCACTTGGCACTGCCCGACGCTGGTAGGGGCAGAGCTCTGGCTGCCCAGGCTGCAGCCAGCTGACTGATAAACCCACCGCTGTATGGAGAAGGCTGGTTGGTGTCAGGGCAGATCCTGGCTAGGGGCGCTGGGCCCTGACGAGGGGCCAAGTCTCTGCCAGGCGTCAAGGGCAGAGCTCCCTGGGAAGGCAGGAGGGCTGGAGCCCAGACGGGCAGTCTAGGAGGCGGGGAGGCCGTGTGGCCTGCCCTGAAGCAGAGTGGGACCCCTGGGGGGTCTGCCCCACTGTGGGGGTTTCTCCAAGGGACTGTTTACAAGGTGGGGAGTGTCACAGTGGTCCTGTGGATCCGTGACAGTGGGGTAGGACGCTGCTTGTGGAGTAGGGGGGCGGGGTGAGGGCGCAGCCTGGAGATATGGGTGGGGGGGTCAGGGTGCTGCTGGGGGTAAGGACCAGGGGATCAGGGTGCCACCCTGATGTCAGATACAAAGAGGGTCAGGGCACCACTTGGGATAGGCACCGGGGGGGGGGGGATCAGGAGGGCTTGGCCTTGTTTCAGCACCCATCAGCCCAAGGGCTCAGCCAGCAGAGCTGCTCTGGGTATGAGGAGCTGCCTGAAACCCAAGCCGCGGGCTTGGCCCATGTCCGCGGCCCGGGAGCTGGCCAGGCTGTGTGTGCCTGCCAGTGCGTCGGCAAGGCCAGCCCATGGGGCGTGAGCGCTGTCAGCAGTGGGCACCACTGGGGAAGGAGCAGCCGTCCTGCCCCAGCCAGCAGAAGCAGGTTCTCTTCAGCAGCCAGCTGGATGGCGCCATCCATGCACCACCTGCCCTGGGCCCAACCTGCCACGAGGAGCAGGACAGCACGGCACGAGCCGGGGCCATGTGGGCGGCAGGAATCGAACCTGCAGCCTGACTCCCAAAGCACCAGTGCTAAGGCCAGACCCTCCAACCCAGCAGTGCCCAGCAGGCTGCGATGTAGAGGGCGACATGGACGTGGGTCACCAGGACACTAGTAACAGACAGGGTCTTTCCTTCTACCATCTCACGGCACGTCCCGGGGCAGGGCAGGAGGGGAAACTGAGGCATGGGGAGGGGAAGGGGCTTGGTCACACATTACACGGCAAGTCAGTGGCAGAGCTGGGAAATGAACCCAGGTGTCCAGACCCCACTGAGGTGCTCTGACCCACCAGGTGAGGCTGCCTCTGCCAGGACAGTCCCAGGCATTTGCAGCCAGCGTCTCCAGGCAGCTTGTGTCACGCAGGCAGAAGTGCGACTAGGACAGGCTGAGAATGGCTGGGCGCTCGCCCCCGGGACTGACTGTGCCAGCCCCAAAGGGGCTCTTGTCTCTGACTCACCCGTCGGGCACCCAGGGTTGATGACGCACAGCACTTTGGGGGGGTGCAGTGCCCCCGGCTTTCCCAAGTACCCGCCTTGATCTCCCCGATATCCAGGGCCCAGGCGCCTCCTCGTCCAGGTGGTACTGCACCCTGATGGCACCGGTCAGTGCTACAGCGTCCGCATAGAGAGGGTGCCCGGGCACCAGCAGCAGCATGCCCACCCTCCCGGGGTCCTGCTCATTGACCATCAGGGGGAGGACAAACTGGGCAAGGAATCAGAGAGGTCAGACAGCTCGGCTCTGACCTCCCGGCCCCCAGGAACGTGGAACCCCCTGCTCCCAGTGACATACACCACCTCAATAGCTGAGCTCGCCCACCCCCACAGCTTCCAAACAGGGCCTGTCCAGCCCTAGGAACTAGGTGAGCCATCCACTCTCCCAGTGAGACTGTAGGGAAAGCCCCAGTAACTGGGGGTGCTGTGGGGAGCGGGGTAGGGGCACTGGCTGTGGGGGAGCTCCCAGCTACTCCATTCCCAGCCTCACCCAGCAGGGGGTGCTGTGGGGAGCAGGGCAGGTGCTCTGGCGGGGGGAGGCGCTCCTGGCTACTCCAGTCCCAATCTCTCCCAGCAGGGGGCGCTGCAGGGGGGCGCAGGCTGGGAGCCCCCGGGCAGCTCGGCCAGGGCAGACGGGGCGTTATGGTCTCTCACATGGTGCTAGGATTAGCGACTCGGTTACGTGGGGGAGCTCAGCAGCTGGAGGGGAGCCCGCCCCCCTGGCCCTGCACCTGGGCAGGGCAGTGCCCAGGTTACCTTGCGTATGAAGGTGATGGGTTTCCGGCCCATCACATGTGTGGCTTGGAGCTGCAGTCAGTGATCTCCTGTCAGGGTCTGGGTGCGCCCTAGGGGAGGATCAGCTGGACATTCCCCAGGGCCTGCTGCCCACAGCCCTTAGCACTCGTTACCCACATTGACCCAGTAACCCCACAGCCCCCTTCACCTCTGCCAGGCAGCTCTGGGCTAGCCCCTTCGAATACCTGGGAAACTGAGGCACGGAGTGAGGGAGGGATTTGCCGAAGGCCCCACAGCTTGTTAGTTGCAGAGCCACAAATAGAACCCAGGAGTCCTGGCTCCCAGGCCCACCCTCCCTCCTGATACTGTGGGGCTCAGGGGCTGCCCCCGCCATGTACCAGGCTCACCCAGCAGCGAAGGACTGACCGTGCCCAGTTCACGCTGCAGCCCTTGCCAGGCGAGGTCCTAGCACACCGCCAGTCCCAGGCAGTGGGGGCCAGGGTCTCCAGGGTCTGCCCGTTCCTCCAGCTCATCCTGGCGCTGGGGTTTCAGGACTGCTCTGAGCACCGGGGCCAGGGCAGAGCGCCCACAGGATGCCCCCAGACTGGCACCTCCCCCCTGCAGATGGTGACTGCAAGGGCCCTTTGCCAGACCCCTGTGCCCTGCCCACAAACAGCCCGTGGTTGATAGAATCATAGAATCATAGAATATAAGGGTTGGAAGGGACCCCAGAAGTTCATCTAGTCCAACCCCCTGCTCGAAGCAGGACCAATTCCCAGTTAAATCATCCCAGCCAGGGCTTTGTCAAGCCTGACCTTAAAAACCTCTAAGGAAGGAGATTCTACCACCTCCCTAGGTAACGCATTCCAGTGTTTCACCACCCTCTTAGTGAAAAAGTTTTTCCTAATATCCAACCTAAACCTCCCCCACTGCAACTTGAGACCATTACTCCTCGTTCTGTCATCTGCTACCATTGAGAACAGTCTAGATCCATCCTCTTTGGAACCCCCTTTCAGGTAGTTGAAAGCAGCTATCAAATCCCCCCTCATTCTTCTCTTCTGCAGGCTAAACAATCCCAGTTCCCTCAGCCTCTCCTCATAACTCATGTGTTCCAGCCCCCTAATCATTTTTGTTGCCCTTCGCTGGACTCTCTCCAATTTATCCACATCCTTCTTGTAGTGTGGGGCCCAAAACTGGACACAGTACTCCAGATGAGGCCTCACCAATTTCGAATAGAGGGGAACGATCACGTCCCTCGATCTGCTCGCTATGCCCCTACTTATACATCCCAAAATGCCATTGGCCTTCTTGGCAACCAAGGGCACACTGCTGACTCATATCCAGCTTCTCGTCCACTGTCACCCCTAGGTCCTTTTCCGCAGAACTGCTGCCTAGCCATTCGGTCCCTAGTCTGTAGCTGTGCATTGGGTTCTTCCGTCCTAAGTGCAGGACCCTGCACTTATCCTTATTGAACCTCATCAGATTTCTTTTGGCCCAATCCTCCAATTTGTCTAGGTCCTTCTGTATCCTATCCCTCCCCTCCAGCGTATCTACCACTCCTCCCAGTTTAGTATCATCCGCAAATTTGCTGAGAGTGCAATCCACACCATCCTCCAGATCATTTATGAAGATATTGAACAAAACCGGCCCCAGGACCGACCCTTGGGGCACTCCACTTGACACCAGCTGCCAACTAGACATGGAGCCATTGATCGCTACCAGTTGAGCCCGACAATCTAGCCAGCTTTCTACCCACCTTATAGTGCATTCATCCAGCCCATACTTCCTTAACTTGCTGACAAGAATACTGTGGGAGACCGTGTCAAAAGCTTTGCTAAAGTCAAGAAACAATACATCCACTGCTTTCCCTTCATCCACAGAACCAGTAATCTCATCATAAAAGGCGATTAGATTAGTCAGGCATGACCTTCCCTTGGTGAATCCATGCTGGCTGTTCCTGATCACTTTCCTCTCATGCAAGTGCTTCAGGATTGATTCTTTGAGGACCTGCTCCATGATTTTTCCAGGGACTGAGGTGAGGCTGACTGGCCTGTAGTTCCCTGGATCCTCCTTCTTCCCTTTTTTAAAGATTGGCATTACATTAGCCTTTTTCCAGTCATCCGGGACTTCCCCCGTTCGCCACGAGTTTTCAA